AGCTTGAGACGACTGGAAAGATCTAGCCTATAGGATAACCTGTCAATCCTCATTGTTATAAGGAAAGGGCCATCATAGTGCTGGATTAGTCCCTTGTGTGCAGACTTTCGAGAGATCTTGTTCCAGATTGGTGAGGTCAATTTCAGCATCACTTTGTCACACATTTCGAACTCTACTGCCCTCCTCTTCTCGTTTGCCCACTTTTTCATCATCTTTACCGCCTTAGTTAAACAGTCGTTTGCCTAGTCGATCCGCTCCTGATTGGCCCGAGCAAAGCGGCATGCTGCAGGACATCTCCCTTGAGACTTCTGCTTGATAACTTCATGCAGGGTAAGAGGCTTTTGGCCAGTTGCCAACTCAAATGGGCTCATTCTAGTGGAAGAGCTCTGTTGGAGGTTATAACTGAATTGGGCTACATCAAGTAAATTCACCAAATTGTTCTGGTTCTCTGTGACATAGTATCTGAGATATTCCTCCAGCATTGCATTAACCTGCTCGGTCTGCCCATCTGTCTACAGATGATTGTTAGTGGAAAAGTTGAGCTGTGTGCCCAATAGTTCAAATAAAGCCGTCTAGAACCGGCCAGTAAATCAAGTGTCCCTGTCGCTGACTATATCCAACGGAAGACCCCAAAGCTTCATAATATGCTTGAGGAACAACTGAGCAGTAACTTCCGCCGTACATACTTTTGGGGCAGCAATGAAAGTGACATACTTCAAAAATCTGTCTACAACCACAAATATCAAAGTAGAATCGTTCACCTGAGGCAAGCTATTAATGAAGTCCATGGAAACACTCTCCCAAGGTCTGCTTAGAATAGGGAGGGGTTCCAACATACCCGCCACCTTCTTCCTTTCTGTCTTGTCTTGCTGGCACGCCAAACAAGTGCACACATATAGCTCCACATCTGCTTCCATGCATGGTCAATAATAACTTTCTGCTAGCAAGGCAAGAGTCCGTTGCTGCCCCAAATGTCTTAACCATGGAGCATCATGAGTTTCTTTCAGCAACATCTGTCTAAGTCTGCCTGACTTCGAAACATAAGGTCTCCTTCCTTTGGTGTAGAGAACACCATCCTCTACCCAAAACCGCCAAGTCACCCCTTCGTGAACCTGCTTCAACAATAAGTTGGTCACTGGATCATCTTTTGTCTGATCCTGAATTCTCTGCAGTATGTCTCCTGCAATCTGGCTAAGTGCAGCAACTGTCCCATCAGCAACTGGGATTCGACTAAGAGCATCAACAACCTAATTTGCACTGTCAGGCTTGTACTGCAACGTGAAATAAAATTGGGCAAGAAAGTCCTGCCATCTTGCTTGTTTTGGTGTCAGCTTTTTCATGGAATTGAAGCAGCTGGTAGCCACATTATCTGTCAGTACAAGGAAATACTTCCCCAACAAGTAATGCCTCAATGCATTGATGCAGTGAATGATTGTTGTCATCTCCTTCTCATGTCCTAAATATCGCCTCTCGGTATCATTCAACTTCCTACTTTCAAATGTTACCAGATGCCCATTCTGCACCAGCACCCCTCCAAGAGCAAAGTTTGATGCGTCTGTATGGACCTCAAAAGGCAAATCAAACTCAGGTAACCGTAAAATTGGACTAGACGTCACCACCGCCTTCAATCGATTGAATGCCTCCTGGCATTTGTAGGACCAGTTTCATGTCCTATCCTTCCTTAGAAGATCAGTCAGCACCGCGACCTTCTTTGAATAATTCTTCACAAATTTTCGATAATAGTTTGCCAAACCAAGGAAAGAACGCAGTTCAATAACCTTAGTAGGGACAGGGCAATCTGCAATGGCCTCAACTTTCTTCGGGTCCATCTTCACCACGCCCGCAGAAATAATATGTCCAAGGAATAAAATTTTCTTCTGGGCAAACTCATATTTTTCTGGTTTCAGATACAACTGGGCTTCCCTCAACTTTGTCAAAGCCAGCCTAAGATGCTCAACATGCTCCTCAAGAGTTTGGTTGTAAACAACTATGTCGTCCAAATAAATCACCATGAAACGGTCTAAGTATTCCCAAAATACGTTGGTCATCAAGTTACATAATGTAGCAAGGGCGTTGGTTAAGCCGAAAGGCATGACTAAAACTCATATGACCCGTACCTTGCCACACAAGTAGTCTTCGCCTCATCTCCCTCTGCAATTCTGACTTGATGATATCTCAGTCGCAAGTCCATCTTGGTGAAGAAAACCGTCTTTCCCAATCTATCAAATAATTCGTCAACAAGCGGCACTGGATAGTTATTCTTGACAGCCACTTTGTTGAGGGCTTTGTAGTCTACACAAAGCCGTAAGGATCCGTCCTTCTTTTTTTGAAACAGAACAGGGGCTCCATAGGGTGCCTTGTAAGGTTGAATGAACCTAATGTCCAATAAACCCCCAAGCTGTCTCCTTAGTTTTGTCAACTCTGATGAAGACATTCGATAAGGAGCCTGGGCAGGGATTTTTACCCTTGGAATCAACTCGATGGGGTGGTCAATCTCCCGTCTTGGTGGTAACCTTGCTGACAATTCTTTAGGTCCACGTTTTTGAACTCAACCAACAACTGTTGCACTGGTTCATGGACTTGCAATGCTTTGGACTCCTCTTCCTCAAATAAAATAGCCAAGTATGTTGTTTTCCCCCTCCGCAAGCCATCTTTTACTTGCAAGGCAGACATCATTTCTCCTAAAGACTTGGCCTTAGTGAGGGGAAAAAAGCAGGGATTGGGCATGTCCATCACGAACATCCCATGTAAATGTGGCATAACAGACACCTTTGTCTTTGTAAGAAATTGCAGTCCAAGGATTACCTGAAAATCATTAAAAGGGACTACCATAAAATCACATGCTCCTTGCCAATCACCAACTTTTAAAGGGACTTCTCTTGCGACTCCGCCTATTGGTTTTGCCTCTGAATTAACAATCTTAATCTGGCTAGAGTTTTTCACCAAAGTCAGACCAAGCCGTTGTACTTCTCGGTCAGAAACAAAATTATGGGTTGCACCTGTATCAACCATTGCCTGAACAGCCACATTGTTCAGGCAAATCTACACAAACATCAACCCCTTCTTTGCCACCGTCTCCTCTTTGCGAATTGCATTAAGGAGTTGTAATAGGTTGACTCGTGTCGGTTCATCAGAACAGTCAGTTTCCTCAGCTATGAGGGCACTGAGCTTTTCTTTCTTGGGGCAATTTCTGGCACGATGAGGGCCATTACAGATAAAACAGCTTGAGTCAGCACCTCGCTTTGATTAAGAGGCCTTGTCAGTCGATTTTTCTGAATTGCCAAACTTCTCAGCCTTTTTCTTCTGCTTTTCCTTCTTAGGGAACTTGACTTCCCCTTTGGACTCCTTCTCTGAAGGGTTAGCCTATTTTTTGTAGTCAACTAGCACATCTGTTGCAGACATAGCAGCCGGTAAATCCTTCACTCCTTGCCGACGAAGTTCTGCTTGTGCCCAAGTTTGTAGGCCAGACATAAAGTTGAACAGGTTGTCTTCCTCTGACATATTTTTGATGTCAAGCATCAAAGACGAGAATTATTTCGCGTACTCCCTCACGGTGCTTGTATGTCGAAGTTTTCTCAATGCATCACGGGCTTGCCAAGCCGTGTTGCTAGGAAAGAATTGCTCCTTCATTTCAGCGGACAGAGACTCCCAAGTAGTAATTGGAGGAAGAGATTTATCCTCAGAACATGTTCGTCACCATAATTTAGCATCACTAGACAGATACATGCTAGTGAGATCTACCTTCTCAGCATCCAAAGTGCGGACTGCTTTGAAGTAGTGCCCCATATCCCACAGAAAGTTCTCAAATTCTTTATCATTACGACTGCCTGTGAAAGGCTTAGGGTCAGACACTTTAGCTTTCTTAGTGCTTTCACTGCCAGAAGCCAAAGAAGCATTCTGCAGTGCCTTCTTGAGCACTGAAACATCTGTCTCAAGGGAACTCAATTTTTCCTCCATATCATCGGTCCATGTGGAGACCGTAGCTAGCACGTCAACAACTTCATTTTTCACTCGACTGAAGTGATTAGATTCAGTCTTTTGAAGTTGTTCGTGTGCAACACGCATCTCTTCCAACCGCTGATACAACAACTCAAGTTGCATAGAGAGAGCCACAACATCACCGGACTGTGGAGGACCAACCAACTCCTCCAAACGTGCCACCCTTTCCCTCAAATCAGCATTCGCTCCGCTAGTCATAGTTGATCTTTTGTTAAAACTACGCTTTGATACCAAAATGTCACGGGGTAACTTTTATTTTTCTTTTAAGGCTACCTGTGAAGGCGTTGCTATTACAACCAGTCACACACAAACTCAAGAATAAGGGATAGAAACTCACACAGAAGGCACACACGAATTTACTGGGACAAAACTCGCAAACCTTCTATATTGAACTCAACAATTTACAAGGAACTCTCAAAGCCAAAACACTCTCTCTTTATTAGAATGCTCAAGCACCCCTATTTATATAGGAGTAAGGCAGATGACACCCTCATTTGCCAAGGGGTAGTTACACACGTTTTTGCTATTTCATAGCATATTTGGCTAGCAGGCTTGGTCTCTGTGCTACACCTGGCAGGCATTTCCACCTCTTTTAGTAACTGATGTGGAACTACCCTTCAAGGGACGCCCAAAACTGCCTCAGCAACTGCCTTGACTGTGTCTCAACATCTGCAACTTCCCACATCCTCTTGGTCACATGTATTGAGCAGCCATGTATCAGTTATGTGCCCACATTCAGCAGCCAGCCTTGCTTCACTAACCAATGTGCATACTGGGTTCAACCCATGCCATACAATCCGAAGCTATGCACCCACATTGCTTCAATTGAACCCATCACGTGCTGTCATGCTCAACCGGGTGGTCTCATGCTACCTTGGTTCGCCCCAATCTGTCAAACCACTTAACCACGTCACCTTGATTCTAACTTATGGCATGCTTTGGTGCAAGGTGCCACCAAGACCGTCCATTTGCACCCAAGTCAGTTAGGGTGTAACACTTATCTACTTAGGCAAGTTCTCTTCAATTTCAGTCCACTTATCAGCAACCTTTGAAAATTTCTCCTTCATCTGCCGTGTAATCTCACGAGCCTCATCAACCTTTGAAATGCTTGCAAGCCCATTCACAAGTGACTTCATGGTCGAAAAGTTGGGAACCCAACCATTTTTCATACTCTTCTTACTGATCTTCAAAGCGGTCTCAAAATCCTCACCTTGACATAAGAAATCCACCAAAGTAAAATAGCAAAAACCAACCAATTTAAACCCACTATTCACCATTTTATTGAGGAAACTCTTCGCCTCGTCCAAATTCCCTTCCTTGCAAAACACCCATGAATCAAATGACAGACAGTCACTGCATTCGGCTTCATTCCCCTAGACAACATCCCATCAACCAACGCCTTTGCCTCGACCGACCTCCTAAGTTTACACAAGCTCTGAATCCTAATATTGTATATACTAATTCCCGGAGTCATATCGTGTTTCTTCATCAATTCCAACACCTTCCCAACATCGTCATATTTCTCCTCCCTATAAAATCCAGCAACACATTTCTCAAACGACGGCACATTCGGTTTCACACCCTTCCTCTCCATCTCAGACAATATCAAATACACAAAACTAGACAAACCCGACTCGCAAAATGACTTTAAAATCGTATTGTAAGTACCAAGATCAGGTTCAATCCCATATTTTCTAGGAAATTCAAGAAATATCCTCTTCACCTCACCATAATTCTTAGCAAGCACACAAGAAAACAACAGGGCATTCAAAGATTTTACCGTCCTATTGACGACCAGATCATGTGTTTTTTCAAATGTCCGAATGGCATCGTCCAGCATGCTAGCCTGACCATACAGGATAATGCAGCGAGAAATGAAGCCTTTCGTCTTCAAATTGGGTCGGGCCTTTAATTCTTCGAGGAAAAAGTGAATGCCCTCGAAGTTATTGGAGTCTTTGAGCTTGGAGATTGCTAAGGAGAAGGCAATGCGGTCGAGATGGGAGTCTGGGGTCAGGGACGTGGCTCAGCAGATTTTGAGGATTTTTTCTGGGTTTTTCTCGAATTTTAGGAGAGATAAAGCAGCTCTGGATTTTTTTTTGCTACCTAATGGTGTTTTAGAGTTCGGGTTTAGAATTTATGAGAAATGGCGAAGGTGGACTGAATTCAATCGAAGATTTAGTAAGCTCAATCGAAACTTATACTGACAAGCCATTGACTCTTGATGGTTTTGTATGTATAATGTGAGAGAGAGAGAGGGGTTTGGGGGGTTTGAATTTGGAGTCAGCAACTCCAAAAAAGTTATCATTTTTAGATGTCAAATCATTTATTTGTGATTTTAAATAGTATTTTAACATTCTCGGATGCTAAATCTGTTTCAATAACAAGTGCCAAAATTGGATTTCATTTTAATCTTTTTTTATAAAAAAATATAATTAAACTTAACGGTTATATTTTAACAGGTATAGTTTTCATAACGATCGTAATTTAACAAATATATTTTTATAGTAAAAATTTCAAATGCTATCATAACATAATAAATAACGACTAAAAATTAAAACTCCATTTTTTCATAATCTCTAATTTCAGGCTATTCCAATATGTGTGGAGAAATTGGGTTCATGCCAGTAATGTCAGTTTCTATGATTGTTCATTTCATTCTGTCTTTCAATTTCTTGCACCTGTCTTTCTTCAATTTCTAAATGTTTATGATGTTATTTTAATGATATCTCCTGTTGAGCATAAATTTTGTCGTGCCGCTAAACTTTTTGTCGTTTCACTTCCATTCTTTGATTTCAGTGGTGATAATCTAGTGATGCTTCAACACCATTTTACTTCTTCTTTTTTTTTAAGTTGTTTCTTCGAAACATTTATGCCCAATGACCTATCAATGTTGGAATTGGACGAAGGTTCAGTGTCATCCCCTAAATATAGAATTGAATAGCAAGATTCAACAGGACTACCAGTTGAATGGGTTTGTGCTATGTTATTGTTGGTGAGATTATCGGTCTATTTCCCCTCCATTTTCAATATAGCCTAACAATGCTTGTATTGAAATGGTTTTCCAATGATCTTAGCAAACATTTCTTTTGTTTCATCAACCTGAAAAACATATGAAATCATTCATTCAATAGTTCAAATATCAAATCATAGTAGTGTATATCTAAAAAAGCTCAATCATTATATTATTTTACTCGGTGTCTCCACTTTATCACAATCTTTCAACTTGACTATAAAAACTGACAAATTTGTGACATTTTGCATTTATATCAGTCCAACGGCTTTTAATAGAAGATTGTGAACGCTCTTCTTCATTGCCTCCATGAAGTTCTAAGTATTTCAATATTCTATGTCAAAAAATATCACCTTGTTCATCTCCAGTAATTGCATCTTTACTTGTGTTAAATCACGCAAACATAATTAATTTATCTTCTTTTAGAGACAAGTTCTTTGTCTTTTGCGATTTTCTCACACATGGAGCGGTTTCATTTTGTACCGGTGCAAATACTGTGAGATTGGTCTGCATAGCATCATCATATAAATCGGTGTCGTTCATAAGCAAATCAGTGAAAAAATCGTTAAATTGCAAATCCATCTACAAAAAAAAATTATAATCAATTTAAAGAATGAGCATAAAATAATCAATTAAAAAATAAATCAAATCAAATCACCCTTAATTAAAACAAATTATACATTAAATTTACCATGCCCTTCTCTATAAATTAAATTTGTCATCCCTTTTTTCTATAAATCACCCCAAATCTCCTTAACCCTACATGATCGCTTCCCTCCCCATTCGTCTCTCTCTGTCTTTTTGTTCTTCCCATGTTTCCTTCCTTTCTTTGTCGGCGGAAGCCATACACAACCACACCCTAATCGCCCCAATTCTCTCCCTCTCTGATTGGCCACACCCTAACGGCCACTTCACGAAATCAACCACAAACACTGATCGATTTTCATGACAAGATACCAAGATTGAGAATCAGGAGTAGGGAGCTTACAACAATTTTCACGAAATCAACCCTATTACAACTCAACACCACACCCTATTTTCATGGCAACATATCAAAACAACCCTATTTTCATGAAATCAACCTTAATGGCCATTTCAATCAAGAGCAGGGAGCATACAACGATTTTTATGGCAAGCTTTGATAAGTTTTCTCTTTCAAAATCTCTGTATTTATAGAAATTTTTTAATGAATAGAGTCGTTGAACATAGCCGTTGAGGTTGAATAGTAGAATCTAAAAGCTTTGTAACATCTCCCTTTCTTTCTCCAAAGTTACCAAAATTATCACCCCGAGACCATTGATGTCATTTTTCAATCATTGATATCACTCTATTTGGAGTGAAAAATTTTAAATTTGGGGTGACATTTTGACAGTTATGGGGTTGTCACCCCTAATGTCACTCCCCCTTGGAGTTGCTCTTAGGGTTTAGAGTGGGTTGAGGTTGGAGAGAAAGGACGAAAAAGCCAACAAAAGCCTAAAAATTTTGAGAAAAATTACTCTTGACAGAGAAAGATTGGATATTGCCAAAAAAATGATGCTTTTTAAAGGTGTACATTGCTCTGGCAATAGTAAATTGTGTTGGCAATAAAAACAATTTGATCCGAAAAAAGAGGATTGAACCAGATGCAAATCGAACGCAACCTTCTAAACTGGAGTCAAACACGCTACCGTTGCACCATGGATCCCAATTGTGGATTAACTTGGACTTTTATATATTAGATTATATTATATTAATAAAATAGAGCACCTTACTTTTCAACACAATAATAGTCCAAATATATATATACATTTTTTTTATACTACAGGGTGTCAAACTTGCGCCGATTATTTTCTTGAGCTTCGCGGCTAGCTATCATGGCTTGAACTGAGTTAGAACATATCTCTAATGTAAAACCCCGGTAAATTTAAACTTTTTATGAAAAAAGGTGATACGGTAATTTGTCACTTCGGTGCAGGTTGAAAGCTCGCATTTTTTTAGAGCTTGGATGACAAAATGGATCTCACTATTAGATTCGTCTAGTAAAATCTAGTTACATAGAATTTTTTTTTTGAATTTCGAGATGATCGAGTTTTTCACATTTTTCAAGACAACAAAATGTCGGATGACCTAAAAAACAACCCCAAAACTAAAATTTTTAAAATTTTATTATAATTTAAAGAAAGTTCATATAAAAATATCTTAAATTTAAACCGGGATGAAATTTAATCGTTTTGGAGCGAAAACGAACCTGAAAATAAGGAACGCATGGTGCGGCGTGGACCAAGTGTTAAAGATTATAAATAGGAGTCAAAACATCTGATTTTCCACAAAAGTCTATGTTGGGTTGCTGGGTTCTAACGTTGGAAAAGGAAGAGAGGGAAAGAGAGAAAAAACTAAACATTCAAGACTGCTATCTACGATCTACAGAGTTCCGCCGATTGGAATCCTTGGAGCTAAGTATTAAAGTCAATCTATACGACGAGGGCTACGCAACCATACCAAAAAAGACGGGTTTCACCAAATATTTAAAGATAAAATTTTGGGGAAAGTTTGGTTTTGGGTTAGGTTTGGGTTCTTAGAGCTTCCTAGCATTGTTTTACGCTTCAAGAGGTAGGATTTTCATCCCAATTAGGTTTATTTTCAACCTAGGATGACTATATGAAATGGGTGGACTATTATATGTATTTTAATACTTGCCTATTGTAGTTGATTTACTGAAAATTGGTAAATTCAATTCTAATATGAATTGGTAATTAAAAATTTTTAGTGGGTGATTTTTTTGAAGTTTTGATAATTGGGTATGTGAAAATCACTTAATCTAATTTTTTTTTTTGAATTATGTGATGAATTTGGACATTTTATGTAATTACATGATTTGGTGTGTTGAATGTGTTTGATTAAATGCCTATGTGAAATAAAGTGTGTTAATTGCATGAAATTTTGTGAAAACATGCTTGAAAATTGTTGTTGGATGTAAATGTTAATACATGCTTATGATATATTGACATGATGAGAATTTATGAAAATTATATGCTTATGATATAATTAACCACAGTGTATGTTGAAATATGGTTGAGCTTGTTCATATGACATTCGTACAGATTGGACATAATATTGATGTTACAATTACACATTATATTGCATTTGCACAGAGACAACGAATTCATGGGCACGAGCATGAGTGTGGGGTGTGTGTACATAGTTGATCAACATTATTCTTGCTGGTTGATAAGTGAACTTGGGAAGGTTGGACCAAGGTTCAACTGAGTTGCATGGTCGTATGAAAAACTTATGTCGGGTATAATAAGTAGGGATAGATTTTTTTCTCGGGTGCAAGACCCCGATTATTGGTTTATACATTTCTTTCGGTGCAAATCCAAAAAAGTGTATCGGTATGCGGAACCAGTGGTGAGACATCAAAATCTCACTACCCAATAAAGATACATGATTTTATTTTATACAAAGACACATGATTTTGTTTTATACTAAGATACATGGTTTATTTTAAAAAGTCATTGGATGTACAACATCAATGACGAGGCCTTTGAATGCCCGATTTTATACTCATGCCATTGCATGGGTGATGAGAGCCAGTAAAGGCTCAGGTCGAAGTACATGAGTGAGTCTCATCTCATTTCATGATAATTTTTAACATTGAATTGCATATTCTTGATTGAAATGGTTGTTTGTTAAATATTGAATATGAACATTTCATATGCACTTAAGTTGGAGAGTGACCTCTTTAGGAAATACCCTATTGAGCGTGGCTCACCCTTTATGGGAATACATTTCATGTGTGGGTTATACACTGGTGAACGACTTATATTTGGGGCCTCAAGGATGAAGAAAAGCCAACTTGTGGCTTTTAAACCTTGTTTTGTAAAATTTTTGTGAAATTTGGTTTTGGACATGTAAATCTATGGACATGATTGTAATCGAACTTGTATTAATTATGTTTGATGCATAAATTCATGATGTTGGAGTATGAATTGAATTATATTGGACCTCGGATAGGTCATGTGATTAAATGTTACATGATTGCACAAGTTGTGTTTTGGGTAAAGCTCTTCGTACAAAAGAGATTCTGCTCGAATATTGTTAAATTATGGATCTCAATAAATGGGGTATAACAATGTGATATCGAGTTACACGATATCCACAGATATTCTGCGTGTTAATTGGTTGATCAACAGGTTGACAAATGATTCCCAATTTTTAGGGTGTCATAGCTAAAGGGACACGGGTGTCTAGTCGTTAAAGGGTGTGAAAATAAATTAAATCTAAGACATCTAGATTATCATATGTCAAACTCAATAATTGAACCACCATTAAAAAATTCAATGTAAATCATTTAAATTTTACGACTTATCTTATTCCTTGCATTTTAACTTTTTCAACTTAATAACTCTTTCTATTCATTTAATCGTAGTAAAATATTTAATAACTCACATTTCCCAACACCTTTGAATTCCCATCTAAACCAAAGAGTTCGAGAAAAAAAGACTGAGTAGAATAAAATTCGAAAAAAGATTCACTTATTGATCGACTAAAACATGCCGGTCTAAAGAGCTTCCTTACTAGCGATTCCCAAATAGTAGAAGAATGAAATAAGATGATCAACAAATGACTCTGGGTGGAAAGTCAACCACATTAAAAAAATAAAAAATCTAATTTATGAATTTAATCGATTATAGTTATTGAATCAAAAGTGTGATTCATAATCTCACAATTGGTTTAACAGTTGCATTGAATTAAATCCTCAAATTAGATCACTATAGTATTGGTCTTAAAAAAAAAAAACTTGTTTTGTCAATAATGACGCTCATTGACCATATGAATATGATTAGTCATTTTCTAAATGTATCAACATTCAACGCTATATTAAACTCAAATTTGTATTGTCATATAAAAAAATGATGTAATATAGAGAAATTCTTTTCATAATTCGAGTTAACACAAGTATGATGCACATTTTAAATGTCTGCTTTAACAAACTAATTAATCATGACCCCTTATTTTTTTTCTGTAAGCATTCCAATCTTGTTTCGTATAAAAACCATTTATGAAAAATAGAAAAAGTTGCAAACCAAAAGTTATATTCATAATAGGGATTGAATATGGTATCAAAAAAAAAAATTGGTATCGTATATTCAAAATTTATTATTTTAATGGGTATTTTTTTTAACTCTTGTGAGTCATTTTACAACAAAAAAATTTATCACTTTTGTGGTGTAATTTATTGTATTTTTAGGCATTTTTATAACTGTTATAGTAATAATTTTTACTATTTTTATTTAATATTACAATTATAATAAAAATATTCATAAATATAATAAATGTCAATTCGATAACAAAACACGGTTCTTTCTTCGTAATAATTCGAATCTATGAAGGTTGTTGTCTGAGTAATTTTCTATCCTGCCGCAACATGGGGCCCAGAGCTTTCACTATTACTGTCTCTTTAATTGTAGTCAAGTTACTTGTCAATATTCATATTCAACAACCATGCGCCATAACCCCATATACACTAGATTCCGCGTCATTACTAGTCGTATTCATGTAATGGACTCTTCATTTATTGTAAGTAAAATATAAGTAGGTAATTAAAATATAAATAAATTAGTTATTGTCAATATCTAAATATATAAAATAATAAATAATAAAAAATAATAAACATATTTATATTCATATTTAAAATCAAATCATAAATATAAAAGAGAGAAAAATAAATTTAAGCATTAATTGTAGTGGGAATAAAAGGTGGTGGGCGACAGTGGTGGTAATAGGAGACGGTGATGATTGTGATGGGTGACATGACTGTGATAGCGGCGGCGACGGCGGTGGTGGTCTGAACCGTGAAAAAATAAAAGTCATTTTGTTTATCTTTTAAAATTAAAATTGTAAGTTACTTTATTATATTGATGTTAATTATTATTAATATAAGCCGAGTGATTAAAATATTTGTGAAAATATAGTAAACTATTAATAACTACTTAGTAAAAAAAGAGGACATCATAACCTACATTTTCTTCTTTTATTAATAGTAGAGATATATGCGAGAGATCATTAAATAAAAATAGTTTTGTTTGATAAAATTTAAATAAAAATATTAATTATTACAAAATAAAAGATAAGGTTTTAATTTGATTTGATAAAGTTATAAAATACGAAGATTTAATATCTAACTTAATATTAGAATCTAATTATTTGTAACTCTTATTTTTTTTTAATCGGATATTATTAAATTAAATAAGAATGAAAATGTTGGAATGCGCGACTGCCGTACTATATTATAATAATAGAGAGAGAAACAGTCAATTTTGAGTAAAATATTACATTTTGACCCCCAAGCGACACGAGCTGGTGTGGAAGGTTGGGTGTACCGGACCAAAGCCAATTGCAATTCCAATTCCCATTTCGCCACCTCTCTCTCTGGGACCGTCTGGTAGAGAAGACCCGCACGTACCTCTCTCTCTCTCTCTCTCTCTCTCCCTCTCCACACACACATATATATCATATGTGTGTGTATATGACTGTGTGAACTTCGCACGTTTTTGTATTTGATATTCGCTCCGTGTTATTTCAATTTTTTTGCCTTGGACAGATAGAGTTGAGGAGCTGGGAGCCGAGGAGGAGCGAAATGACCAGAATGCCACTGAGCTTCCCGTCGATCGACATCGGAGGACTCTCGTCGAATTGGTGGGACGAGATCAACGAGTCGGTTAAATGGCAAGATGGGATCTTCTACGCTCTATGTGCCGCCTTCGCCCTTGTCTCCTCTGTTGCTTTGGTAACACACATGCACACACACCATGTTTGTATGTGTTCTGGGTGTGAGAATTGAATCTGTAGTGATGTTGTGGATTTTGTTTTGGTTGGTTTCTGAGAAAGGACTAGAATTTAGTTTCTCAATTTAAGGATTTCCAATCTGGTTGGAGCTGATAAAACTAGGTCTCATTTAATTGTGCTTTATGGGACGTTGCTTGGTTGAAGTGATGGTTTATATAAGTTACTTTATGCAAGTTTACATAAAATTGAGATCTTAGAATTGGACTTGGGGAATAATAAGTTCAAATTTGAGGTAATTATTCATCAAATCCATCGTCTAAACCCTGCCTTCCGGAACTTGAAAACAATATTGGAAGACTACCCAAATGGATGTTAGGGTTTGACTAATTGTATCTTGGAGTGGTAACAAAATTGTTTCTTTAATGCTTATACATCATTTGGGAGCTTGGATTTCATTTATTGGAATTGCTGTTGGAAAAAACTTGTTTAGAATTACAACTGCTGTGGATTTCAATCCCAATTTCAAGGCATGGTATTCTTGCCTTATATGGGATTTATTATAGCGAGTTAATCATTAAAGGAGAGGAAAAAAATACTCCATTACCCCATATTTTATGTTCAAATTAGTAGGTTTTGTGTAATATGTATATATGCTGCTAAAACGTGTTCCTGCTGAAATGATTAATGTTTTTTCCAGACAATTAATGATAGATAATGTGCATTTTTGTCCCCTTAATGTGCATTTTTGTTGATTTGTCCATTTGTTCTTAGTTTTCACTTTATCCTCAGTTCCCCCCCTCCACACCCCCCCCCCCCCCCCCCCCAAAAAAAACAAAAATTTAGCCAATTAGTTTGAAATAATTTATTTGTTGTGGTTGTGTGTACAGGCTTCCTTGCACTTAAAGTGTTGTTGCAACATGCACCAACTTATGTTACAAATTATGCTATGAAAGTCTTGGCGTATAATTAGCTGTCATAACTCATAAGTTTATTGCTTGTAAGTGCATTTTGAAGTTGTTTATATAGATTAATACCTAATGGTGTGCAGATTCAATTAATAAGGATTGAACTGAGAGTACCAGAATATGGTTGGACAACACAAAAGGTTTTCCATCTTATGAACTTCATTGTAAATGGAGGTAAATTTGAATCGTCTGTTATACTTTTCTCATTTGGATGTGCATTAATTAGTTGATTGCCTATCTGTTTATTTCAGTGCGTTCCGTTGTCTTTGGATTTCACCAACAAGTGTTTCATTTGCATCCCAGGGTAAGTTTCCTGTTGGTGTAGAAAATGTTTAGACACCTGTATACACTTTAGATTTACTCTATTGCTAAATACACATTTTCTCCATTCTTTGCCTCCCCACTATCATCTGTTTGAACCTTAGGATGCTAAGAGTTTCAATTCACCGAGGTCATCTTAAGTGGGGAGTTGGAAAAAAAGATAAGATGTTGTGTATAAAAACATTCTTCAAAGATGCCTGTCATATGTAATGAAGATTCGATCTCTGGTCTAACTATTTTGTATAGGATTTTTGAATGCTATTGGAATTTTTATTTTTCTGTTGTGTAGCGGCTACTGCATTATGATGTAATGGCAATATAGACAAAACAAGCAATAATATTTATTGCCTTGGGAAAGTTCAGTGCTTGTGAATTCTTGTGATTCAATCCTCCAAATTTCTAAAAGTCTCTTGCAGTGATATCTATATCCAAAGTACACTGTCAGCTATGTTGTCTTTTTTGATCAATCAAGATCTATATGTAATTGGTTATTTGACCTTGAGTGAGTTTTCATTGTGTATCAACTGCAATCTGGCATCTGAAGTTACGTCTAGCATTTTTAGTCTCTAAGCCCATTCTTCAGTGAGTTCTATGGTGACAATTGGTTTCACTGTTTGGATGTCTTGATACCAACTTAAATAACTCCAATGAAAATGCAGTACATTTGGTAAAAAAAAAAATACCCCAAACACCCAAAAAAAAAAAAGTAAGAATAAAAATAATCATGTCAGAGTATGTAATGTACAATGCTCGAGGCTTGTGTACTGACATCAACTTTGCTCTATGTTGAACCAGGTGCTTCTATTGATACTCCTGGATCTTCCTGGACTTCTGTTTTTCTCAACATTTACACTTCTTGTCCTATTTTGGGCTGAGATTTATCACCAGGCAAGTAAAAGACTTATTGCCAATGTCTTGTTAAGTTGGGGAATACATACTTGTGAATGCTTCTTATCTTTTGAACTACAGTGACACATTCTTGATCATTTATCCTTATTAATGGGCAGGCAAGAAGTTTACCGACAGATAAGCTCAGACTTTGGTACATTTCAGTTAATGGTGCAGTGTACTTCATACAGGTGCCCTATATCACTCTTATACTGCATCACCTGCTCATTTTCAGTATGCTTAAGTGGTTGTTTTTTGGAGATTTCCAGATAAAGTACTATTAACTGTATATATAGTTGACTGTATTTGCTTGAGGCACAGTTACGATCGTGTCTTTCATTGTTTTTACGTACATTGATGGATATAGCTTTGTATTACTACAAATGAGCCATGTGCGTGTTGAGGGTTACACCTTCTTGGTCCTTCTGTACCTAATGTTCATGGGCATCGGATGTCTCTTTCTAGTTATCCTACCTACCATCATTTCATGAGCATCCTAGGACTCGTTCTAGTTATCCTACCTACCATCATATCTTTTGAATTTCTAACAGATTATCCATTTTTTGTATACTATGGCCACATTTAAGACGATACAAAACTGTCAAAACAAATATTAGTTTGGATATGCTGTTAGAATTCATTGTCTGCATAAATTCTTACCAAAAGAAGTGTTTATGTCAGGCTTGTATTTGGGTGTACTTCTGGATAGATGACAACAGCACTGTGGAATTCATTGGGAAGATATTTATTGCCGGTTAGGTCTCATACTAGTCAGTCAATCTACAGTCTGCCAAGCTTTATTTGTGGGAGATTGAAACTAACACTTTCTGAATTTGTAACATGTATTGCTTCTTTTGGTTGAGCATTTGTACTTACTTCAATATTTTACTGCAGTGGTATCGCTTATAGCAGCATTAGGGTTCCTGCTATATGGAGGAAGGTGAATCTTCTGAATTATTTTTATTCGCCACTTTGCACATGTGGAGCAATCTGTGGTCTAATTTGCCCACTGATTTTTATGTTTGTATTTTTTCATGTGAATTTTCATGCTTCCAGATTATTTTTCATGCTGAGACGCTTTCCGATTGAATCTAAAGGGAGAAGAAAGAAACTTCACGAGGTCTGTTTGTGTTCTATGTCATCTTATTAATTAGATTGGGATGGATATTTGGCATATCTATTTTGTTGCATCTGCTTGGTTATATTTTTTTGGATCAGTCCCGCACCTATTATTGGTCTTAAATATTTATGTTTTATTTTGTTTTTCTTTTGGTAGTGCACTGACATACCTATAGAGTATCAAAGCGTGGTATGTTGATGGATTTGCTGACGATTCAAATATTTATTGATGAAGTGAATCTAATAGCAATTTATCTTACTAGCCAATAATTCATTGTACAAGTTGATGCAACATAGAGAGTTCCATTATCATAGAGGTAAATGATAAACCATATAATTTCTCCTTTATAGATATCATCAGAATGCATAAATTTGGAAGCTCATTTTTAATTTGGAAATTGGAGAACATATAGAGTGTCCAGAGCCAGACAAATCTATTTATCACCTGACTCTAAATTTCACACATTTTCAGGATTCCTTACCCGACCTAGCAGGTTTTGCAATATATAAAAACACAATAGTGGTCTAAATATTAGAATTTTTCAGTAAACAAGGCATGTAATGCAGCATAAGCAACAAAAGCTAGTACGTTTGTGTGTGTGTGTGTGTGAGAGAGAGAGAGAGAGAGAGAGAGAGTCAATTATCCTTATGATGCTTGTGTATTTGGCCCCCTTTATCAGAGGGGCTGGAATGGGTGGATTGGATGCAATATTAACCTTTGATATTGTTCACACAGTGACTGCTCTCAAATCGGACCACCCATGAACTCATGGTTGTTAGCATGCTTGCATGAGATAAATAATTCACATTCCTTACAACCTGACATTTACAATAATAGAGGCACAGAGCCCAACATATCATAATGCCTATGCGTTTGGATGAAACATTGTTTAGAACCTCTTGTAGGCAAGTTTCTTTATCATATGATTTAAGTTCACAAAAATATGATTAGCAAGCATCTTACAAAACATTATTCCCGTTTTAAAATGATGATACGATAAGTCATATATATGGGGTGGTGCCTTTATTTGAATTGTGGAATTTGAGTAACATTTGTTTGTGGGTCAATCTAATTATTGCTGTAATTTTGATAATGAATATGGATTCTTAGTTGTATTATGGTGCATGTTTGTAATATCATAAGTATGATGGCATAGCAGTTTGGGGCTTATAATAAATTGCATCTGCACACATGCGTAAAAGTAGCTTATGTAATGTGACTCTTCCTAAGCTTTCAAATGTCTCTAATCAGACACCAAAATGTGGAGCAGGTTTACTTCTCAGACTAGCTGGGTAGTTGTTTTGCTTCTATTCTTTGAAAGCTGGGGTTTGAATCTATGTGACACCTGTGACTCCTGTATAAAAGAAAAAGTTCTAGTCATTCTCTTTCATCTTTAATATCCCACCCCACAAAAAAAAAAAAGAATAAAGAAAAAACATTTTTACAATTTGGATTCTATAAAACTGCTGGCCTGTTGGTCCAATTACCTTCGTTTGAGTGTTGGTTCTATTGATAGTCTCATGATTCCGAATCAGAACCAATCTACTTGCCCTTCCAATGCCCAAAAAAAAGAAGAAAATAATAGTCCTTATCCAAATTAGTATTGTCGGACCTAACATTCTAATTGTTGCAGGTTGGATCTGTGACGGCCATATGCTTCGCGTGCTTCCTTATAAGATGCTTTATGGTAAGGTTCAGACTATCTACTGCTCATTATTTCTGGAAAGATATGTTTTCTTTGCTAATGCTTAAAGTCAAATTCAAAGATCTTATAGGTAAAGTGAGTTAACTCTCTGTGCCTGTCTTGTTGGTGAAAACTAGAAATTGACACCTATTTTGATCACTTTGAAGGGTCAAGTAAAATCGTCAGAGTAATGAGGCTATTAGTTAATTAGCAGTTTGTGCTACTTAGGTCAAATGTCGATGAGCTTTTCTGCTTGTATGATGAACTCAAGTCTTCATATGCAGGTGGTTTTATCTGCTTTTGATTCTGATGCATCGCTTGACGTACTGAATCATCCAGTTCTAAATCTGATCTATTATATGGTAACAGCACCTGTACATTTCATTTTGTTATATTGCGTGTTTTTCTTCAATTGTTTTCACTTCTGTTGTTAAAAACAGGTTGTTGAAATCCTTCCTTCGGCGCTCGTGCTCTACATCCTGCGCAAGTTGCCTCCTAAGAGAATATCAGCCCAATATCACCCCATTCGATAGCCATGGAACATCTTTGTCTAGGCCTTACTATCCTTTTCACCTCAAAAGACTGGTTTTGATGGCTCCGGCTTTAGAGATTAGTGCAGTTGAGTAAGAGAGAAGCAGAGCCAGAAAACAAGTCCAGATGCATTTGTCTGGTATGGCTCATGATGTCAGTGATTCTCTTAGTAACATGTATGATACATGGATCTCTTTATGACGAGCCAAGGGAGTTGTGTTGACTTGATTTTGTTCATGGTTTCCTGGCTTGAAGATTTATTTATTTGATTAAATTGTGTCCTGTTGCCCTAGGTCTTGTAATTTTTATTTGAGAGGGTGTTTGCTAGCATCATTCTGCATGTAACAATTATTAGTGTCACTCAGTGTGCTATGCTGTTGTCTCTTATAAAACAATTTTTTGCTAGTCGGAAGACTTGTACTATTATTTCTTCAGATGAATGGTTGATCTCTATTTCCTGTTTGATTGACTTGTTTCTCTAATCAGCTTATGCTCTCTATTTACTTGTTTAAAGTTAGACCAAATGATTTGTCTTAACAGGTTGCAGCACCAACTCCGGGATCGGCTCTCTACGGGTGGAGTTGGCGAAAAACTGTCAACTTGAATACTGCAACCCGTGAATTTGACCACATTGATCTGCAGATTTGGTTCATTCTCTCTCCTTTTTCTGTTCTTTATGATATTTCCCGGGTTCCATTCATAACCCCTTATCATATCCCAAAGTAATTTCCGTCCGTCTTAACAACCTATTTATTTGCACTGATGGCAAATAATTTCTGGGTCAAAGGACTAGTTTGTGGCTGTGGCTAGGGATGTCAGTGAACCGAAGCGGAGGCGGGGGTGTAGTATCCATTCCCGTACTTGCTTAAAAAATTTCGTCCATTCCTAGACCACCTCCGTTAGTGGTTGTAGTTTTCATCTCTATCCCCGTCCACGATAAATTTCTTATACCCAATTCTCCACCCCCGTCCCTGCTTCCCCGTTCCCGCCCAAGTCCAAGTCCGAACCCGAACCTAAACCCAAGCCTAAGCACATAATCTCACTGAAAAAATTATTTTGGTATAATTTTAAAAGAAATTTGAATGACTTTATGCAATATAACATGAAATTGGTAATTCTCTGTCCTATTCTCTCTCTTTTTGAGCAGTCATTCAGGCAGATTCGGTAGACTCTTATATTCATTGCCACGTCACAATCTACATGTCAACTTTGTAAGATGATTTCAAACTCTTCACAATTAGATATAAACAAAGATTTGGAAGAAGGATTGTTCATAAGTCCTAACTGTTTTATCTTTACCCATTGTTAGTGCATGAACATTGTTGTTACAGTTCTGTTCGGTAGAGAAACTCACAAGTAAGGATATCAGTAGACCGAAACGGGGGCGGGGAGCGTAGCCGTCATCCCCATATCCACTTAAAAAAATTATGTCCATCCCCGGTCCACTCCTGTTAACTAGTATAGTTTTTATTTTTATTCCCGTTCGCAGGTAAATTTTTAATCCTGTCGCCGTTCCCGCTTCCCCTGTAACCGTCCAAGCCCAAGCTCAAGTAACATAATCCAAAATTTTAAATAAATTCAATATTTTAAATAATCCAACAACACTCTAACATAGTCTAACACAACATAACGTAGATTACAAAATGTAAAAGCCAAAATAATATAGTATTCTATTTAAAGTGTCATTGGACTTCAAAAAGAAAAACATAACTATAAAAGAAAAAGAAAAATTAAATTAAATTAAGATAACGATAATACTACACTTGAAGTTTCCTAGAAGAATTTTTGTTATTACAATTCATATTACAACCATAAAATGTTAAAAGATGAAAACTTAAAATTTCGTTAATTCAATAATTCTCCTCATTTCTTAATTCACTCTAACAGAGAAACTCAACAATCTCCGTTCATAATATTTCTACCCACGCTGAAATGTAAACCTATCTTACTCTCTCTTATCTGTTTTTAAAGTATGGTCAATTACAACTCCTAATAGTTTCAATCAGTGAACACAAATAAAAAAAAGAACAATCAGAGAAAAAAGTTGATAAAGATTATCACATAGTAATGGCGTTTTTTAGTTTGATTACCATATTTCTAGGTTGGTAGTTACAGTAAATATATTTAGTTAGGGCTTGACAAGTATTTTTATTTATATATGTATATAACGGGTAGCGGGAGCAGGGAGGGGTGGGGCGAGGGTAAAGATAAGTCCATTTTTGCCTTTATCCCCATACGGGTATCCCCGTATACATCTACCGTCCAATACGTATAGTCCATCCCCTATCCAAACAGGACGGAATTGGACGAATACCCATTTTTTTTCGATCCACTACCATCCCTACTCACAAATATGAAATAACATTGGTTTCATGAATACAATCAGACTACCGAATGCATGCTCTTTTCATTCACCAAACACCAGATTGGTAGAGCAAATACCTTCTAATAATTGAAACTCCACAAAGCCTTTTACAAAAAATCACACCAGTATATATCGATCCTGCACATGATAAAGAGTGTATATATATATATATATATATATATATAATAATGGGAGCGGGGTCGGGTAAGGGTAAGTCCATCTCCGCCTCCATCCCTGCACGGGTTTATACAAGTATTCTCGTATATGTCCACTGTCCAATACATATAGTTCATCTTTGGTCCAAACGGAATGAGTTTGGACGAATACTCATATTCCCCCGGTCCACTGCCATCCCTACCCGTAAATTTCAATGTGTGTGTGTGTGTGTGAGAGAGAGAGAGAGAGAACGGAGCACTAGTTGTGTTGCGTCTTAAAAAATAGTAGTATTCAAAAATTATTTTTGAGAAAAGTTTTAGAAAAGTATTTTTTGATGTTATATCACATAATTTGTTTGGTCATATGATTTTAAAAATAGTTATACGAAATAAAAAATAATAAAACTTATTTGAATAATAACCTCTAAAATAATGAAAATAGGAATGTGGTAAGAGTAAGGTTGTGGTGGTGGGAAGCGTAGGTGGTGGTGGTGGGAAGTGTTGGTGGTGGTGGCGGTGGAAGTGTGGATGGTGGTGATATTTTCTAAATTCTGAAATTTTTTTTCCAAAATTACATAACAGGTATAATTTATTTTTTAAATCTATCCATTTTTTATTCTCAATTTGCAGCTGACCAAACAATTTTTCTCCTATAAACTATTTTTAAAAATAGAAAAACAGTTTATGAAATATAAATCAAACAGGGCCAGAGTATTCTAAGATAAGGTAGTCAGCTTTCAGAATACAGTATAATGGTGAAATTGCTTTGACATGGAAGCACAATTCTCTATTTTCCCTATTGAATACTTCAGCTGTATTTCTCCACAATAAGTTTCTTCGAATATAAGAAACGCAAAAGGACCGCTCTATAACTGCTAAAAAGTACCCATTTCAGATCAAAAGTACAAAATGAACCCTCAATGCCAAACTGCCTCGGTGGCTAAAACTTCATAACAAGCAAAGGCGGCCTCCCAGTAAAGTCTAGGCTATCCAAGAATCTTATCGATTTTGTTGAACTTCCTCTACAGGTGGGGGCGCAAATCTCACATTTGCAGGGCGGGCCACAACAACAGGCTCATCAGCAAACAGTGCTCTTATAAGTGATGGAGTTCTTAGGGGTCGACGACCAGTCATTCGTGGATACACTTCTTCAAGAAAATAGTATGCATGACCAGCCATCATTCCCTGAAACACGGAAAGATGTGTTTTTTTTATAACTAAACATCAAAAATTAAACAGGTTCCCACAAAAGGCTCAACTAAACAGACATAATGAATGCATAACTGAGGTAAGGAAGATAATTATTTCAAGACTTAGCGAAGATACATCATTCCATCAGACTTAAATAACCTAAGTAGAACCTGCAGGAGTGAAAAGCAAAATCTAAAATATATATTCGTAGGATGTAAAATTATACTACTTGTGCAATCATCAAAATGAATACAAATAATTCTATTCTAAGATTGAATCACATTAAACGAAATTGACTTATCAACAGGAGACCATTTGTTTTGTTGATGACTTGAAATGTCTAGTGATGACTCTACTCCTAAATCCATCACTTTACGGACATCCCTGATTGGGCAGGTGTCTTCCTCTGAAACTAGAAAGCTCAAGTTCAAGCCTCCCTCTCATCTGTAACACTCACGTAAGTACAAAATCCCAACCTTTATGATTGCAAAAATTCTGAAGATAATAAAAAAAGGTGAGTAGGTGGGAGCATCCACATTGAAAGAGTGAGTATTCAAGAGGATTTTGCTCTCAATCAACCAATTTGAGAATAAAAAGAGGTACCCACACAAATTTCAAAAGGATATAGTGACCGTGCCCCAAACTGGTGAGGGTCAGTGACCTGACAATGGGATTTTTATGGGTCTTTGGAATTGGAAACTCAGGAAATACATACAAGGTTCAGGTCTCTCACAGGCCTGTCATCAGCATTTCCATAATCCACATGATAATGAAGTAGTAATAAAACAGAATCAAATTTCTATTCATAATCAGTTAACCCAAGCACTATAAGCACAAATGCGAAAAAAAGTCATATCAACACAACGGCAGTAAGCATACCAGTAGATCAACCCAGGCACTAGCACCAACAAGGACAGAGAATCCCAAAAGAACCTGCAAGAGATAAAAATGAAGCCTGGAATTATACATTGTTGTCAATGTGACGCATAAGGAAAGAGCAATTTCTAACATTGCATGAAGTGAAACACCAACAGTGGCTGACTACAAATCATATTGAACTAAACCTAAAGCTAGAATTCCAATGTTCGCATTTAGATGCAAAAATAAGAAGTTTACAATAAGAGAGGCAACCAAAATAATTCCCTATTTACAATGAAAGCAACAAAATAATATGGAAGAATATAAATGCCACTTACACTAATATATATTGGCTCTAATTTAAACATATATTCTGTATGCATCCTCGTTTGAACTATCATATACCATTTCCAAAGGGGTTGAAGGTAACAGTATGCATTAATCTCACCACACTGTCAACATGGCAGCACCTAGTCCTACAAATTGTAATAGTCGGACAAGGCAATATGATAAATACATTGTGGATCACTCACCCATGGAAGGTAAGCTGCTGTGAACGTAAAGAAGCCCAAGAAACTCATATGGATGTACGGGTTTTGCTTGCTCCACACATAAACCTGTAAAGTGGAAATATAACATTTTTAAAAAGATGAAAACAGTTGATGTATAACACGTTTCACATTTAAACATTTTTATATGGATACATAGGCAAACCAACTAACCATCATAAATGTCAGTGAATTGCTAAGGAATATAATCTTTGCGAATGATTCTGACACATAAGGTACCATTCCGCCAATGAGAACAATCCCAGTTAAAACAGTGGCACCAAATAAAAGCATGTAAAAGAAATCTGCAGTCCTTCCCCTAAAAGAATTCTCTTCAAGAAGCTTGCAGTATCGAGCAAGAAAGAACATGTGGAACAGAAAGTCCAAGTCTGGCAACATTAAGATTCAATGGAGTGAGAACAGACGATGACAGCATAAACTATATCACATTACAATATACCTATTTCTATGAACATCTGAAGAAATATATCTGGACAAAGCTGAAATGTCCTGAGCATAATTACCGAGTCAACTAAATAAAAATTTAAAATTCTGTCATTAAATAACTTCTTGATGGAAAAGCACAGATGGACTCCCCCACCTGCAGAATCAAGAAAAAAAGCTGCCACTACATGGTGAACAACCAATCCCTATGCCTTCCTCTTTACCTTTTTCATTTATTGACCTTCCACTTTATCATGTGGCTATGTTTGTGCATGGACGTTTAGGGGCTGTGGACCATACAATCAAATTTCTAGGAGTTCGGAATTAGTCATTGCAGGTCAAAATTGATCCAGGGAGATTACAAATCTGATTGGTATTTTGAGTTAACAAGATCTATGACTAGAAAATCTCCACTCCAAATGAAATCATTCGAGTGGGTGAAGAGGCTAGACTGCTGAGTGGAGCAAGAAGCAAAAACATAAAAGTGCAACAGGACTCTCTCGTATAGGTTTCTATCTTCACATAAACTCATCCACATCTTTCAGTCTATGTGCCTCTTTGCCCTATTTTATGATACCTATACAATCGCTTTTGGGTATCAAAAGGGAGAAACAATCTACATTCCATTAAAAAAAAAAAAACTGAAACAAACAAATGTGTGTACATCTCTTCTTTTTTTTTTTTCCAAACACCCTTGAGTGTGTTAGTCTAAGCTTTTATGTAAAGAAGTACTTGAGAAAGTGAAAGAGTGAGGTAAGCACAATTTTTCGCACAAAAGAATTATAACAGCCACAAATAAATTGAAAAAAGAATCTATTAGAATATCAGATGCAGGAAACACATGTGGTAGCCCAAATACATCAATTGCAATCAGGAATTACCACCCTCCTCAGTTGTGAACCGAAAAGTAAGACAACAGTGTGCATCAACGTTCCTTCTTGAGCACAAACATCTCTTCCATGAAAAAGTGGCAATCATCCAAATGCATACACAGACAGAAAGAATGCCAATACAAGTTTGAAAAAAACAAGGGGAACCGATGGCACATAAATTTCCACCTAGAGTTTTTGCATTGTAGAGTTAAGAAGAAGATATACATGAAATTTACATCACAGTCACATGTAACACCAAATGTTTGGACAGTCAAGAAAATGCTTCATAAATGAATTAGTTGTATGAAAAAGTTCAGAAGGGATTTGTAGCTGGCAACACAGAAAGCACTGGAATATCAATTTACGGGCAGTGGAAAGCACTCAGAAGTAGCACCAGTTAAGGTGCCAGCAAATTGAATTTCTTAAGATCAATAAAAGGAACAACTAGAATACAAAAAGACACTCAATTAATAACTTAGGAGACCAGCTCCCAACCTACATGATCAAAAGAGTCATGTACATCTCACACAATAACTTATACACAAAATTAAAGCACAACTGCAGAAATTTTACCCATTCCTGATTAGCTCCCGCAATAAACCTGTTATTAACAAAGAATGCAGGGTGGCAAACCAACCCCTAAAACAAAAGGGACTTTCTTTGTACACCTGATAGGTCAAGAAGTAATACTGTTCCATGACACTCAAATAAGTTAATTACATTACTTCGCATTCCTTTTTCTCATATTTAGCAGAGAAAGGTTCAAGTGTATATTTCTGTCTGAAATCCAAGCATTTGCCTCATCAAGTCCATGCAATTAGAAACTCTTAAAAATATTGTGACTGCCTAATCCAGTGATTAAACCCCAATATTGCACACAATATAACAAGTGGATACATCAAAGGCTCAAACCCTTTGACTGAAAATTGTCGAATCAAAACCAAAACCAGTAGCTCTGCCACAATCTACATTATGAGGAATCACGCAAAAGAATTACTTGAGTTATAGCTATAAATATTACCCATATTCCGGAAGTAGAGGAAATTGGTGATGAGTCGCCAGAACTGGTAATGCTTAACCACTAGCACTGGGTTCAAGTACAAGTTGTAAGGTGAGATTATCTGCATAAAAAATAAAACATGAACCTAGATAAACCCAAAAAAAAAAATCCAGCTTTTAGTATTGTTTACAGCTTCCAATTAACCAGATTCAGTGCTTATTGAAAAATAAAAGATTTTACACATCGTATTACCAATACAAAAACATGATATGTGTAAAAGAAACAGAAATCTAAATAATAACCGCAACAATAAAAAATAAACTAACTTTCCTCCATATAATTGAAAGCAAAACGCCAATGTTTTCATAAATTCAGATCACCCAGTTATGTAACCCCCACACCAATTATACCCAATCACATCGAAACTGACTATTTGCATTCGAAAATGAACTCAATCCTATGCAATTCTTTAAAATTAAAGAGAAGTAAAATTTCCACATAAGTTACAACAAACCCGGTAGAATCAATCCAGATAATAATACCCAATTGCACAGTAACCCCATTAAGAATCAAACCAAAAAATACACAAATCTACTCAATTACATAGAGTCCTACACATATCCGTATACATATATAAATATACAGAGAAAGGGGGCCGGGGGTGCATACTTCGAGGGAGCAACAGATGGTGGTGACAATTGCAGCAGTGAGGTACGAACGGGTGATAATTGGCATCTGTTTGTACCATTCTTCTACAGCTTGAGCCATTGCTCAGTCTCCGATCTTCTCAAATCAATGAAAACCCCAAACCTACCACAACTTTTCGCGAAAAAAAAAAGACCTTCTGGAGCGAAAATCAACACAACACACAATGCTTCATCAACCTCAAACCGATACAGCTACATATATGATGTACTAATATATCTCCCTATTCATAATTTTGTATGAGAGAGAGAGAGAGAGAGTGTTTTAGATTGGAATTTGGAAAGGGGTGAAAAGTTTTGGATTGGACATAGACTTAAGACTGGAATAGGAAGTCCTTAGCCCAATCTCTCGTTTGGTCCCCCTCTCTCCCGTAACCAAACAAAGCCACATTGCATGTTTCGCTCTAATATTCTCCTGGGTTTCTACAAAACACGCGAGTTAGGATCGCGTGAGCTAAACGACCCAATCAGTGGGCCGTTATACAATAAGTATCCAATAATATACTTTAGAATGGAAATAATGATGTCACATATATTCAAAGAGACCTTTGATTTGTTTGGCGTTGGAACCTAAGTCACACAATTTGTTCAAAGAGTATGTAACTAAAATTTATAAGCCTAAAATGATATCTCAAATTAATAAAGATTATTGGATCAATATATTCTATTTAAAAAATTAACAGAACTCACTCGTCCAATAATTTTTCATCATTTATAATATTATTTGAGTTACATAAGGATTATTGGATCGGTGAGTTTTATTTAAAAAATTGGTAAGACCTATTCATTTAATCTTCTCTGTTTATTTGAGATGTTATTTAAGGATTTAAATTTGGATTGCATAACATTTTTCTTGTTCAAAACATCTTGCGCAATTTTGCTCTGCACGCGAATTACGCGTTTTGAGAATATATTTGTTTTAATTTCACACTCTAGTTTTAAAATTCGTGAACTAAAGTTTTACTAATTTATGTATTCAGTATTACAAAATTTAAAATTTTACTAATTCCTGAATTCGATAAAATGATTTTATGAATTCACATTTTATGATTAAAATTATTGAAATAATGATAAAAAAAATGCATATTATTTCAATAGATAATTAAGGGTATCAATCAACAAACCATCTACGTATGCATTAGTAGTGATTGTCTATACCTTAAAGTACTATGTACCATAAAAAAAATCGCTAATGAATTTTTCAAATATATTCGCAAATAATTTTTCTTGAACAAAAGTTGCACTAAAAAACAAACAAATTTGAAAAACTCAGTACTAAATTGTCCAAACATCAATTAAATACATACCCCCTTATTTTGTACCAATATATGTGAATCCCAAGTATACGTTATTTGCACTCATAGTTGAAGTGGCCAAAAAAGTCACTAAATATATTTTCCCAATCTATTGGCAACCGACAATGATGCACTTAGTGATCAAAGACAATTTTCAATCCCCGCACTCTATGGCTTTGAACAATTCCAATATGTTTCATGAGCAATGGTAACAACTAATAAGCATTTTCACTCACATATGCACACTAATCAATTATCTATTTTTTTTTCTCGAATAACTTAATAGAAAACTTTATTAAAATTAGAAATTACAACTCGTCTAGGAAGACAGACCTTTTATTTGGGTTGTAATGACAACATAGCTATGAAAAAAAAACAATATAAGCCAATAATGCACAACTAGTAGAAGATGAATATCTCAATTGAATCGCCCAACCATCCATCCCAACCTTTCGTGGTATGGACAATGTTTAAAAGTACACCACTACATGATCATGAGAATGGTGTCACCTACATATAATTAGATTTAGATGAGTGCAACTACAAAAGCCTTTGATCATTTCTCACTATATCAAGCAACTAAGATAGAACATCCTTTACTTCAACAACAACACTTGTGAAGCACTTGTTATGGCCACATGCAGAAAGAAAAATGAGGATCACCGGTTGACTTCAATTTAGTTGTTTATTTAGGGCCTGTATGATAACACCACTTAAGACTTTAAACTGAATACTCTAAGCACTTAATAAATTAAACTCGTTTGATAACCTAAAACTTATACTACTTAATATTTTAAGCACTTCTTAGAAATATGCCAAAATTTTAAGTAACAAACCAGTTACTTATCACTTAATGCTGAAAAATGTAAGTCAGTAAGGAGTTTATCAATTTCTCATAATTGACAAATATACCCTCACAACCATTGTGCTACCGTCATCATTATTATTGTGTCATCGCCACTACTACCACCGTCATTGTTGTCACCACCATTGTATCACCACTACCATTATGTCACCACGACTACCACCACCATTATGTCGCCGCCACCATGAGTACCACCACTATTTCCACCACCACCATCACCATTGTCGTTATCACCTCCACCACTAACACCACCACCACCATTGTATCACCGCTACTACCACCATTACCATAACTATCATTGTTATCACTGTCACTACCATTATGTCGCCGCCACCACCACCACCATTACCTTCACCACCACCATTGTGCCACATTATGTCACCACCACCACCATTGTGTTGTTGTCGTCGTCGCCACCACCACAACCACCGTTGTCGCCACCACTCCCACCACCATTGTGATAGAGGTGATAGGAATAAGACAGTTATATAGATATGGTTAAAGAGAAGGGAAAAATTAGAATAATAATAATTTTCGGATTTTAGCTCATTCTATTTGTCAAACAGTGTGATTAAATTCAATATTTAAAATTCAGCAAATAATCTGCGAATTAAAAAATTCAACATTCAACATTTAAAATTTAGCATTCAATTTCTAGTATTCAACTTTCAGCTTTATCAAACACTACCTTAAGTTCATTTTGGGATCCATGGATCTTCAACCAATCAAAAATTCAAATAAAACCATTTAGAAGTCGCATTATAGTTACAATTTTAAGAAGAAAAAAAATAAAGATGTGTTAGCTAACACACAAAACTTAAACACCATATTTCAAATGAAATTCCTACCATGACAAAGACATATTGTTAATGATTCGAGTCAAACAATAAGCTTCTTGAGAAAACATTGCCAAGCAAAGTGCATAACATTCCTCATCGTGCAATGATCATCAAACGCACTCAAACACATCACTCACCCCCAGATACTCCAAAAGGGTCCAAATCGTTGTAAAAAAAAAGTTTAGTAAAAGTGAGGAATCAAAATTTTAAAATACCTCATTTCACCAATTTTTTGGACTGGAAAAATGACTTGAAATAGTATACACTCAGCCTAAGACGACTACAACACATAAACCAACTAAGAGACATGTGTAGGGGTAGTTATCTTGCTTTCTTTCACAAATTGCAAAAGCATGTGTATTAGTGCATTAAGAAAGCAGTTGAATAAACACTGGTTCGTAGATTAGAGAAGCTTGCAGATAGATTAGAGAAGTAAGGAATTTCTACACCCTGTCTTTTACTACAAAAGAAAAAAAAAACATATGTGACACATCAATTGTCTTTTTCCCGATATAAGGGGAATCCCCAATATCATTAGAACTCTGACATTAGGAGAATTATTGAAAGCGATACCCGACAAAAATTCAAGAGGCAACACAAGAAAAAAGACCGATACAACCAATTAAAGTATTCAGTAACAAAGAAAATGATGTAAAAACAGTAAAACTTTTCACAAACTTTCAGAGTATAATTTACCTGTGATTGACAGTTGACAAATCGAGAATAGATTGGTCAACAAATTGATCTCCAGCTATATGCATAACAATCCCACAAAATAAAATAAAATTCAAAAAATCATAAAAAATCAATGAAATTCAAAGAACAGCAAAATAAAAGGGAACTACACCTTGATCACAATCTCGAGACAAAGAGGGAGAGACACTTGGTGGCTGCGGTTGGTCAACTCGTTGGGGTATGAGGACTGTCCATTACACTATGTTCCTTTGGGAATGGCTTCGAACAATTAATGACCATTGACATGATCATCACATTTCACTTAGCTATATAGATAAAACGATTTCTAAAATCAATACCAACTATCAAATTAGAAATTCCAGGCTAACACGGATAAAATGATTTCTAAAATCAAACAAAACACATTGAAAAGAAACATGAATTCAACCCATTGAAGAGGAACATAAATTCAACCCATTGTACTCATAAAAATCCATGTCAATTAAAAAAATTAACTACAAATTTTCGTTTTCTCAATCTTCATTGTAGTAGAATTAGCTAGCAAATTGGGCCTCCATCACATGCAATCTCTATCTATTACATCATGATTTTTGTTTTCTCAATCACAATCTCCGTCGTAAATTAATAGGGTTTTTTGTTCCACGTCAGATCAAAAATTGAACAATATAATAATCAAAATAAATATTAGGAAAAATTCGGCCACAACCTATCTAATTTATTATATCTTTAAGGACATCTCCTCTATTATCAAAAATATCATTAAAATCCTTTCTAGTTTATATTTAAACATCATTAACATCCCTTGTCATTAAACCACCATTTCTACCAAAAAAAATCCATCTAAAATATCAAAAATGCCCCTATATAAACCCCAAATATTTTTCTACATATTAACATATTAAAATTGAGCTCATTAAAATTCAATTCGAACTAATTAAATTTATTTTTATATATATATTAAAATTTGATCCTATTAAAATTTATTTTTTACATATTAAAATTTGAGCCAATTTAAGCTCTACCCGAGTTGTTAACCGATAAAAATTTGCTTTCGAGTCAATTAAAATTTATATTTTTTTTACTTATTAAAATTCGTGTCAATTAAAATTTAATTTATTAAAATTTGAGTTAATTAAAATTTAGGCCGATTAAAATTCAACGCGAGTTGATTAAAATTTGATTTGAGTTGATTAAAAATAATTTGTAACTGGCTCAAATAGAATTTTAATTGACTCAAATTTTAATACATAAAAAAAATAATTTTTAATTGACTCAAATTTTAATAAGTAAAAAAATAAATTTTAATTAGCTCGAATCAAATTTTAATCGACTCGAATTTGAATATGTAAAAAAATTTAGAAAATAGAGGAGATCTCATTAAAAATATTCTTATCTAGAAAGGGTGTGAATGAATTTGTCCTCAAACATATCCTGGGCAATTTAGTGAAAATGCATTATAATTGATATTTTAATTTGACAGGGGTGTCAGTGAAGATTTAAAAAATAGAGAAGATATCATTGAAGATATGATAAATTAGAAGGGATGTAATTGGAATTTTTCCTAAATATTCAAATCCACAACCCAAATGCCATTCCAGTATTCCAAATGTAATACATAAGAAAAAGAATGAAAAAATAGGAAATCATTAGAGAGAATGAGATCCAAATGTAGGCGATGAAGCACGATGTAGTAAAAACAAAAAATTGAAGAACGGAGATGAACAATCTGCATATAATTGAGACAATCTATATGTATACCCCAAAGCTCACTTAGAACTTTCATCGAACATGTGGTAAGTATGTTTGGTGAAGGAAATGGACCCTTTTGGATAGGCATTGGGCGATAGTTGAGGGAGGTGTTGGGTCTTGGTGGAAGAGGAGGTTTGTGGGTTTTGTCTCTTAACAACTAATCGGTGAAATGGAAAGGGGGTGTCACTGTGTGTGGCTCCGCTACTGTATGTCTATGTATGTGTGTTTGAGTAAAAAAAGGTGGACAGATAGAGAGATGAAAAACATACCTAAGATGTATGAGCAATAAGAAGATGCACATGGAGAGAATCAGGAGGGCAAGAGAGGGAGAGATGAAGACATAGAGGCAGTATTAATTTGACAGTGTTTGTGTGTGTGTGCAGAGATAAAGAGAGAGGGAGACACACACAACCCTTTTAACTACAAATTAACAACATCAATTTACTCCAATTAACAGGCCTAATTTTGAAATTATTTGTGTGAGTGAGTTTGTGGGTGATGGGTTTGTGTGAGTGTGTTGTTGATGGGTGTGTTAGTGCGTGTATGCATTGTGTGTGTGTGTGTGAAAGCAGAGAAGAGAGAGAGAAGACTAACCTTAGAGAGGTTCACCCAAGGGGGAGAGCTTGGGGGGGTCATTGAGAATGTGTGTGTGTAGAAGGTCGGGGCGAATTTTATCTGTGTATGTGTGAGGGAAAGGAATAGAGAGAAGAAGGATACCTAGGAGGGGTGTGGTTGTGGCTGTGGCGGTGGCGGTGGCGGTGGTGGCGACAGTGTTGCTGGTGATAGTGGTGTTGTTGGAAATGGCGTAAAAGACGGAGATAGGGAGTAAACAACAAAGGAATTGAAATCAATTATTAACAAGTAATGATGAATATATTTAAGATTGTATGATTGATTTGTTGAAATCGTTCTATTTTATATTATAAGTAACGATAAATATATTTAAAACTGTATGATTGATTTGTTGAAATCGTTTTATTTTATATTATAAAAGTCATTCTCAAAACGTTTTATTTTCAAGTATTTTCTTATTTTTTTTACGCTCTTGTCCTCGCTTTCACTCTTTGTCTATGCTAACCAGGTTAGAACATAAATGTGTTGTGAGCTATTTTTGAGGACAGTCAACCTCATCACGGTTGATGTAAAACCTCAATATGTCAATTTAACATGGTCCACACGATTTACCCAAAACTTCATTGTGTTGGGCAAAGACATAATTCAAAGAGCAATGTTATATGAAATTGAATTAAAAATATAATAATTATGTCATTGAATTATTCATAGATCCCAATATAAAATGCACTTTATTATCAATTTAATTGTCACAAATATATTTAAAATTAATTATTTATTTGACCCTTAAACTATATTATTTGTGTCAATCAATCCTTGAACTATATTTTGGTGTCAATTTAATCATTAAATTATATAATTTGACTCAATGTGGGTCTTTTGTCAAAATTTGTTGCTAACTTTAATAAAAAATCTCCATTGCACATCCATGAGTAGAGATGAGGTTATAATTTTTTTTTTTGGTCAAGATTAAGTTATAATTTAAGGCCCACATGATTTATATGTGAGATTTTTTGTCAAAATTAATGACGAATTTGGACAAAAAGGTCGCTTTAAGTCAAATTACATAGTTCAAATACTAAATTGACACCAAATATAATTTAAAGTCTTGATTGACATAACTAATATAATTCAGGGACAAAATAGGTAGTTAACTCGATTATTTAAATTCCAAAGTTGACCGTAAGTTTGGTAGGGGGACCAATGTAATTTGTGAAAACTGAAGGACCGAGTGGGAAAAAGCAAAAGAAAAACACTCGATATTATAGAGCGTAATCTACCGCTAGTGTCTTCCACATTCAAATTCAAACTCCTCTCTCTCTCCCTCTCTCTCTCCAAACGTCGCCGGAAAACACTTTCAGTCTCAGAAAACTCAGATCTCGCAACACCCAAAACAATGGAACCAAAGCATCACCACCAGGATTCGTGTCCTTCGCCGGCACCGAACCTTCCATCTTCTTCTCTCTTCAGAGACATCTCAAACTTTAAAACTCCAAAACATCCATCACAAACCCCTAAATTCTGCACTCCATACCCTCAACAATTCTTCACCGCTTCCAAGAATACCTCTCATTCCTCATCTTCTTCCACCTCTTTCCGACGGTGCCGTCCGGTGATGACGGCCACTAAGGACAGGTCAAAGTCCAACGTAGCCCGAAGATTGAAGGCTTTCGAGCTCGAACAGTCGAAGTCGGCCCGGAAAGCCCAAATTGGGAAAGAAAAATCTCTGAAAGTGCTTTCGAAATCACTCACTGTTTGGCTTAATTTTTTGTTCCAAAATCCGAGATCTTGTGGCGTTGATATATCGAAGTTCACCGGCGAAAACGACTGGTTGAGTTCACCGGATTCTGTGTCAGAAAATAGGAAGAGGGACAGTTGGCCGGACAGTGGGGTTGGGGTAGATAGGCCGTGGAGGGGCCCGAAACGACAGAGGGATTTATCGTGGAGCAATGTGGCTGATGAGAATGAGCAATTATTTTCGGATACGAAGTTTGGGGTTTTAAGGGCCTCATTGCAAGAAGTTTGTAGTTTTGACGATTTGAGAGAGAGAATGCAGCTTTACTTGAGCTTGGCTAGTTGTAGAGAGATTTTTGGTGTGATGAATCAACTAACAAAGGTTTGCTTTTCGCAATTTTAAGTATTTTGCTCAAAGTTTGATTGATGAGTCATGAACTGGGTTTGGTTTGACTGTATGTTACATTGGATGACATGTATATTAAGTTTAGGTTTGATTTATGATTCAGTTTATGCCATTATGCTGTGACACATTAGTTTTCTAGCATTCCTTGTTCATTGAGGTCAGCAATATGTGAAGGATGGGCATCTTTTTATTTGAACTTTTAACTATCGATTTTCAAGTTTCAAGGTTTGAAGTTGTGCTTAAATTACTATTTTCCGGCATCAGCATATTGGTGTTGATTATTTGAAATTACTGATTATCTCTTTGATTTCAAAGTATTTATTGAAATTGTTGAAAGTCTCCAGTCAGAAGTTTTTTTTTTTTTTAGATTTCTACGCCATGATCTAGTAAGTTATGTAATTTGGGTTACTTCCAATGTGTACCACAAGATCTATACTCAATTTTAAGATCTAATTATATGCATTAGTATTGAGTATCTATCTTATGTGCACCCTAATATCTGACATAGCTTATCCCTGAAGCATGCATATTAAAGTGATCTTATGCTCTTTGAGCGAGTACCCTGGCCTAATTTTCCAAAGACTCATGAATTCTGATCATGGGTTTGAATTGTTTATACTCAATGCTAATGTGTTGCTAATATGTTGAATTATTTATTTTTCAGAATATCGATGAAGGAAGATTAAAAATGAGGGTGCATTGCCCCACAGTAACCGATGTTGGAATGAAGAAGAAGGCCGTGAGAATTTTGATGTGTTATAACCCTATTTGGCTCCGGATTGGTTTGTACATAATTTTTGGTGGTGACTCTATGTTGCCGAATGGGGATGTCAATGCCGAGCAAGAAATTGCATTTCTGAAAATGGTTATCGGTAAACAGTTTTTCTCGCATGTTGGTCTAGCGAAAGCCTATGCTTATAATAAAATGGTTGATGGTTTATATAGACCAGGCTATTTTGAGAAACTGGGGAATGTTATCTTGAAGAGATTTTTGTTGCTAGTTCTAGTACTTGATAGAGCTAAATGTCAGAGCAGTCTTCCTATCAAGTATGGAATTGATGGATTAGATGGCGGTTCTCCTTTATTGTTCACTCTACAATCTAATATTAAATCTAGTCGTCAAATGATCAATGGTAATTAATGAAAATATAAGTCATCATACGTTTTTATGTTGTCTTTATAATCTTTGTCAGTTGGTAGTGACTTGATTTTTTCTTTTCTCATGCTCAAATTAGATTTCTTATCTTCTGATGTGATGCATGGAGAAGGTGATCTTCTTGCGCATCTGGTTATTGTTGGGTACAAAGTCTCTTACCAACAGGTTAGCAGCTCAAATAAAAAAATTATCCTTATTTGTGTGTGTGTGCGTATGTGCCTGCCTCAGGGTAGAGTTGGTGGAAATGGTTATAGGTTCTGTAGACTCTAAATTTTTTGTTAGTGTGAGTGAGATCAATTCAGCTTGAAAGCATATCTCATTGATAATATTATTTCTTGATGCATCTAATCTACTGCACCTGTTGTTGTGCAGGCTCCACTTATTGAGTACGACTTTAGGGTCACAGAGTTATTTCAAGATCTCCAAGATGGGGTCCGGCTCTGCAGAGCCATTCAGCTCTTGCAACACGACTCCTCTGTTCTTGTGGTTAGCTGATTTTAATGAATATTAGGACTCAATTTTTTGGTATGATATTTATGTGTCATGCTTGATTTTGATCCTCTTTTATGGTTAGAAAATGATTGTTCCATCAGATACTCGTAAGAAGAGCTTGGTCAATTGTGGGATTGCCCTTCAATATCTAAAGCAGGCTGGTGTGCCTTTATATGATGAAGATGGAACAACAATTATGGGAGAAGATGTTGTAAATGGAGATAAGGAGTTTACACTTTCTTTGCTCTGGACAATGTTTGTTCACTTGCAGGTGTGTCATATTCTTTTCTTCCACTCAATCTATCAGTATCTCCAAAACCTCAAGTCTCACAGGATATGCTCTTTCTGTATCTCCCCAATCTCAAGTTTCAACGGATGCATAAATTTGTTTCATTGGGAGAATTTTCTATATTCTTGTTTATTAATTGTTTGAATCACATTTTAAATAAGCAGTGTCAGTATTTGTTACGAGTGTCAATCAACCAATTTTCTCATGTAACATGCAGTTGCCTCTTCTGATCAACAAAACGCTCTTATCTGTGGAAATTTCCAAAATCCGTGGAGTTCGTGCGGTATGCTCCAGTTTAGATAAATGTTTTGTTTGTGCCTGTCAGAGAAAGAAATATATCATCACTGAGGTTTCGGGGGAAGTTGCTTTTAATATTTTAAGACCAAATCACCCTCTAGATCTAGAGAAATGGACTGCAAAATTATCTGGTTTTTGTTGTTGTATTCTTTGTTGATGCTTAAATTACTTCTGATATTTATAACTGAGCTGCAACTATTGCCTGTCATTTTGCAGGAACATTCAAATGCTTGTACTCACTTGGACATGCTTTTGAGTTGGATCCAGGTATCATTGCTACTTAATCAGCTCTACAAGATTTTATTGTTGATTTATATCAAACTATTTTTGCATGATGTATATTAGTGAGTTACCTATTTTTGCATGTGCATATTTCGTTCATTTTTTTGGTTTTAAATTTAAAATACATGAAGTGCACCTCATGTTCTCTATGATAATATTGCTCCATTTAAGAATTTTTGTCCATGCGATTTTTATTCTCCGTTTTCCCCATCATTAAATCAATTTGTGGAAGTATGGTGCAAAAAGTTAGTATGCATGTGGCGAATTCAATAGATCTTCAAATAATTGGTGTTTAAACTAGTACTTGTGCATAAGGTTTTCTTTTTTTTCCTTTTTTGGGGCGGGGGAGAATATAGATGGTCTCTGGGATGAAAGGCCCGTTATATTTGCAAAGGAAAATTCTGATGTGTCAAATTTCAAACTACTTTGGAGCTAAGGCTGTTTCAATTTTCAAGATTCTTATAGATGGCTAATTTGCATATGGCTGCCTTTCTTACTGTGCAGGCAATTTGTGAAAACTATAATGTCATGGTTGAACATTTTGCTTCATTAGTTGATGGAAAAGCCATGTGGTGCTTGCTTGATTATTATTTCCGTAAGGAACACCACTGTTCTTGTTCTTTTAAGGTGTTTGCCATTTCCTTGTCATCCTTCTTTTCAGGATTTACCTATTTGTTGTGCTTTTGTCATTCAATCTGTGTTTTACTCTGAGCTCACAGGATCTTAGAGAAACAAATGGAGAAGCATCTATAATGTCAGCTGCTGAATATACAGATGCGGTGCACAACTTTATACTCTCTCAGAAATTGACTACATTATTGGGAAATTTTCCAGAGGTATTTAAATACTTGAATTGCTCTGTATCCCAAAATGAAAAAACTGCAACTGAATCCATGCTTACATAAAAAAACTGAAATCTAAGAGAACATTAAAAAACTGAGTGCCCCCCGAGCCCAAAAGTTATTTCCATATGTATATGCCTGCTAATTTTAGCAAATATGTTGGGAAATGTATACACTCTATAATATGGAGTACACTTAAGGCCAAAATTTGGGTAGATTTTAAAGCAAATGCAGACAATATATTTATGTCTGTGTTTTATGCATGCAATACATATGCATTCATGTTTTGTTGTCGGTATCTACCTTACGTGTAGGAATACATAGGCATTGGCAATATTTATACATCTGAATGTCATACTAAATATTGATGTGATATGTCATGCCACAAGGTTTTTACTAGCCAATTTATCTCAATTTTTTCTCCTTAATTCCTGAAACAATTTGGGTGAGTAATGATATAGGCCCATATCTTTGTCTTACTTCATCATCTTTGTCTAAAAGGTTTCAAACTTTCTTAATTGATTCTTTTATGTTCTACGCTGACCATTTTTTTTCGAAGCAGTTGTCAGTGGATTTGGAGGATCAATTCTTGTTTTTTAATGTAATGACTTTATTTTTGAATTTGAATTTTGAATTGGAGCACGCATAGTTTATCGGCATATGAAACTCTACTGAAATTGTGCAGTTATGGCTAGTGGGTGATACTTTGTTCTCATAGAAGTAACATTGTCTTGAATATCAAGTATGCATTATTGCATTCATTCATAAAAAAATCTAATTCACCTCTACTTTGCGCTCTTGGTAGCCACATAAAATTCCAAACAATCACATTGGTTTTGTGTAAAGGTTGTTTTCAGTATATCAGTTTTATGGCTATCATTTTTTTGATGTGCAATTCAATTTTTTGTTCATTGCAGCATGTCATATGCACTCTAACATTAGCCTGCTACAGGTTCTGCAAATTAGTGACATACTTGAACATAATGGTGCGTGCAATGATCGAAGCGTGGTCATCCTATTGGTTTTCCTCTCATTTCAACTACTTGTGAAAAGAAACACGGTAATGTACAAACATTTGCACCAAATAACATGTGAATCTTTTTTCTATCCAAAATTAAATATTCATTTTAATGCTCTTCCTCATATCAGGACCAACTGAATTTTCATAAACTCTTGGGTTTTAACTGTCAAAGTCCAGAGAGGAAACGTTTAAGTACAGAACGGTGGTTTATGCATTCTGCTGCAGTGCTTAACCGAGAAGAAATGAATGGGAACAGCACTGAAGGTTGCCAGGGTTTGTTTACTGGGAGTTATCTTCTAATATTGTTTGTAGTTTGTGCATTTAAAAGTAATATCTGTGCAAGATTGTTGTTGTTGGAAAACTTACAACTGCACGTGTCTTAGCTGAGGTGAGAGATCTTCACTCAATTTACTGCTACCATCCAAGTAGGTTGTCACCATTTTCCAATAATGTTACTTCCAACTTCTTAGGTTGCACTATGCAATTAAGAAACCTTCCCCAGACACTGCAATGGCGGGAGTCTCATGCATTGGACTGCCATTTTTTAGGTCAAATTTGGAATTCGCTACTTTCCCAGAAAATATTAAGAAATAGGGAACCACCAGAGAACATAAAGAGTGATGTTGAAGTTATTTTAACTTGGTGTTTCTCAATATATATTCCGTTGTGCCAAGTTTAAAAGTTTAAAACTTTGCTCTTAAAAATACATTTTGAAGAGACCACTCTCTTCCGCCTTTGTGATACATTTACTTTTCTGTGGCCATGCATTTTGCCGCTCTATTTCGTCTTTTCTCTTCTTAAGTATTTACAGTTGGATGGTCTTTCAATGATTTTTTTTTTCAATTTGTTATTTTTTGATATCTTTTGAGTAATAGTTTTTTTTTCTCCAAAAAACAAAAAAAGAGGTTTATGAACTAATTTTAACACAATTTTATTGTTGTCTGTTTCTGTATTTGTGTAGATTCCGTGAGAAATTTTAAGGCCATCATGGCTTGGTGGCAAGAGATGGCTCAAAGAAATAGCAATTTTGATATGAAACCAGATACTCCAACTTTGCCATCTATCTCTAATGGTAGACTGAGAATTGATGTTCAAAGAGGTAATCATTATGTAACTCGCGTTGTAATTCACAATGATGTTTTTTTTTGTATCAACATACCTTTCTCACTTCTCCTTAACCCCTTATCCCTGGTACAAGGTACCTAACGATTGATCCATGTTTTCTTTTACTTTATTTCTGGGAGATGTTATTTGTGTTAGAATTAATCATAGAGAAGAGAAATAGTAAATGTATTGAACCAAGAGCTCATCTGTAATACTCTAAAAAAAAACCTAGAAATACATAAAATAACCCTTATATATTAGAGCAACACAACATAAAGAGAATGTCTAAACTACCCTTATTATGAATACTCTAACACCCTTTCTCAAACTCATGATGTAGTAGAAAACATCAAGAGTTTGCCAAGAAGAAATCTAAAACGTGTTATGGTATGAGATTTTGTAAAAAAATCTGCTATCTGCATTGTAGATGAAAGAAAGGGGAGAGTAATGGTGTCGTGCTGCAGATGATGACGCACAAAGTGACAATTAATTTCAATGTGTTTTGTACGCTCATGGAAGACCGAGTTATGAGCAATCTGAATAGCACTGGTGTTGTCGCAGAACATAGGAGTAGGAGATGATACCGAAATGCCAAGATCCACAAGGAGCCATCGTAGCTAGACTATCTCAGCTGTAGTAGATGTCATAGCATAATACTCAACTTCAGCAGAAGAACGAGCAACAACAGTTTGTTTCTTGCTTTTCCAAGAAATAAGAGAATCCCCAAGAAACAGGCAGAAACCAGTAGTGGACTTGTGATCTATAGAGTCACCAGCCTAGTCAGCATCAGAGTAAGTTCTTAGTTCCATAGATGATGAGTGAGGAAATAGTAAACTCTGATGGAGAGTACCACGGAGATATCGAAGAATGCGAATAACAGCAGCCCAGTGAATGGTGGTGGGTGAGGTAACAAATTGACTCACAATGTGAACAACATAAGATATATCTGGACGAGTGACTGTAAGATATACTAAACTCTCAACAATAGTCCGATAGAGGGTTGGATCAGACAAGAGAGTACCGTCAAATGAAGAGTAATGAACATTGAGTTCTAAAGGTGTGTCAACTGTCCGATTATCTGATAAACGAGCTCGTTGAATAACATCTGAAGCATACTTGGATTGAGAGAGAAGATATTCTTTGGGAGAGGAATCAATCTCAATACCCAAGAAATATCTAAGTTGCCCCAAATCTTTTATCTCAAAATGGTCCTGCAACTGAATTTTCAATAAGCATATGCCAGCAGTGTCATCACCCGTAATAATCATATCATCAACATATAACAAGAGAATAATAGAACCTGAGGAAGTAGACCGTAAAAAGAGAGCAGAATCATGGTCATTGGCACGAAAACCCAAGTCACAGATAACTGAAGAGAATTTAGCAAACCATGCCCTGGCAGCTTGTTTAAGACCATATAAGGCACGATGAAGTTGACATACTTGACCAGAACTATAACATAATCCAGGAGGAGATGTCATAAAGACCTCTTCAGTTAAATCTCCATGTAGAAATGCATTTTTTACATCCATTTGAGACAAACTCCATTGTTGAATGGCAGCAACTGCAATTACGGTGCGAATAGTAGTCATCTTGGCAACAGGAGCAAAAGTCTTATCATAATCTAGACCATATTCCTAAGTAAACCCCTTGGCTACTAATCGAGCTTTATATTGTTCCACAAAACCATTTGACTTAGTTTTTATCTTATAAACTCACTTACAACCAATAGTGCATTTACCAGGCAGTAAAGACACTAGCTCCTAAGCTCTGGCCTTATGTAAGGCAGACAACTCTTCGTCCATAGCCTGTTTTCAAAGTGGATCAAGTAAAGCTTCCTTATAGGAGGTGGGTTCAGATAGAGAATGAATAGAAGTAAGAAAAGAATAAAAGTCAGAAGAATAACAAAAATTACTCCAACCAAATCTGTCTGGACATTTGCGAGAGCGCTGAGGATAGCGTGGGGTATGATTCACAGTATCTGAACTTGATTGGGCTGTCGGAGGAGAAAGGGAAGGCATTGCATCCGGAGAGGAGATAATTGGAGTCTTACAAATATATGTATGCACAATAGGAGGACGAGTAATAGTCGGCTTAGAAGATGAAGTATTTGACACAGGTATATCATTAACATATGTGTCATGAGGAACATTAGTAGGAAAGGGATCAATGTACAACAAGTCAGACTTATTCAATGAGGAAGAGTTAGATGGAATTGAAAAGAAGGGAATATGCTCTATAAAAACAACATGACGAGAGACATAAAGTTTGTGGGTGATGGGATCATAGCAACAATATCCTTTTTGACCCTCACCATAACCAAAAAATACACATAAAGCTGAACGGGCAGAAAGTTTGGTACGAAGAACACTAGGGAGCAAAACAAAACAGGTACAGCCAAACAAACGTAAAGAAAAATAGTTAGGCGGCTTACCACATAACTTTTCAAATGGAGAGACTCTAGAGGTGAGAATAGTAGGAATGATGTTGATCAAATGAACCGCTGTCAAAACTGTTTCCCCCCAAAAAGAGCTAGGAACATGTACTGATAAAAGAAGGGAACGTGCTGTCTCTAGAATATGACGGTGTTTTCGTTTGACAATATTATTCTGCTCAGGTGTGTTAGTGCAAGAGGATTGATAAAGTGTACCAACAGATTTCAACAAATCATGAAAAAAAGTAAGAGTATATTCACCTCCTTGATCACACCGAAAATATTTAATGACTGTGGAATATTGAGTGCGTATTATATTACAAAATGTAGTGAAGATGGAAAAGAATTTAGACCGACGTTTCATCAAGAATACCCAACAATACCTCGTGTAATCATCAATAAATGAAACATAATATTTGGACCCTCCTTGTGTAGAAATGGGAGCTGGTCCCCATATATAAGAGTGAACAATATTAAATGGTGCATGAGAACAAGTAACACTTTTATTAAATAACAATGCACTAAATTTAGCCAACTTGCATCCACTACAATCAGAAATTTTATGACTTGCTAAACTACCCAAGCTACTAGTCGAAGCTAAAAATTTTAAACGAGAATAAGAAACATGACCAAGACGAGAATGTCATAAATAAAAACTAGATGACTATGGACTCAAACGAAATAAAGATAAATCAATAGTAGAAGCAACAACAACAACATCTGGGACATGAAGCTCCTCCAACACATATAACCCGCCCTTTTTACTGCCTGTTCCAATCAGCTTCTTGGACCGTAGATCCTGTATAACACAACCAGAGGAAGAGAAATGAACCAAAAATTCAGAATCAAATAGTTGACTAATTGAAAGTAAATTCAAAGTAAGTTGAGGAATATAATAGACATTTGAAAAGGTAAGGTTGGAAGGAATAATTGTCCCAACACCAGCTAATGACATTTGAGAACCATTGACAGCAAGTACAAACAAAGATGGAGGAGAAACAATAGATACAAATAAAAAAGAGTCACTGGTCATATGATGTGTGGCACTTGAGTCAAAGACCCAGGCGGTTCGAGGTATACCTGAAGGACCTGAGCTAAACGAACCTATAGTGGGAGAAACTATGAGAGCACCAGGCTGATGAAGAGAGAGAAGTTGCAGTAATTGGTCTGCAAGCATAGTCAGGCTGGGAGCTGATGAGGCTGACTCATCCACTGGCCGTGCTACGGCTGTTGTGTGACGATCTCTTGGCTTAAATGACTGATGTTGAGACCCTTGTGCATTCTTGTTTATCAACTTGGGACATTGGGCCTTCCAATGACCCTTTTCACGACAGAAACTACACTCATCAGAAGCAACCCGACCTCGATATTTATTTTGAGAATTAGAGGTCACTTTGAAAGGAACAACCAACACAGTCTGATTTGGCAGTGGAATAATACCCTTTCCAGAAAGGGTTTTAAGGCGAACTTCTTCAGTTAAGAGCTCATTAACAACTGCATCCACTAAGGAGAGTGGATGACGATGAAGAATGGAACCACGAAGTCCCTCGACATCATTTCTAAGGGTCATCAAGAATTGCACTAGCCTCTGTTCCTGTCTGAAGGTGCGATATATCAGATTAGTGCTCAACTCAGTGGGTTCAGTAAGTGCTAGCTGATCCCAGAAGCCAGTCATAACTGAATAGAATTCTTGTATATTTTTGTCCCCTTGACGCGCATCGTGAATCTCGTGTTTTAGCTGATACCTCTTTGCAAAATTAGACTGGACAAAAAGTGTGGCCAAATAATCCCATATTTCCTTAGTTGTGTCAAACTTGGATAGATGAACACCAATGGTCTGATTAACTGAGTTATTAATCCAGATGATAATTTTTGCATTGTTGATATCCCAAATACTCTTCAAAGAAACATAATTTTCAGCCTTAGTATCAGTTGGAGCTTGTGCAACACCACTAATATAATTCCACATATCTTTTTCCATTAAATTTTTTTTCATAACATAAGCTCAATAAACATAATTTCCACCTAGTAATCTCACACTAATGGCTTGAAGTGAGTTAGAATTTTCACTTGCCATTGTTATCAAAATTAAAACAATCAAAACCCTAGCAGTCACCAAACAACACAATAACACCAAAAGAACAATCCATAGTCAAAACCCAGAACAACAATCAACAAATAAAACAATAATACCAAATATCAAACAGCACCATCGAAGAACACTGCTGAAGCCACAACCTCACTGCCGAAGTCACCAAATACCAAACAACACCACAGAATGAACACTGCCGAAGCCAACCAGACATACCGAAACCTTCGGTCGTCCAAAATCAAGCCAAAATATTATTCAAAAGCTTTGAGTCTTTCAAGAGGTGACCCAGGAAGTTTAGTCGTGCCTCTTGGAGAAGATTTAAACCAAAAATTACAGCAAAAAATCCTTATTTCAACATATTGAAGAAATTTAAAAATTTGGGCCGAAAATATTCAAAAAATAGAAACACCTACGAGATATGCTCAAAGTCGAAAACAAATCATACCAGGAGGAAACCCATGCAATTTTGAGCCTAATGGTGGTCTTCACGATCGGAAAAGGATGACGTCATCATTGGTGATGCTGACGTCATTCTCCGGCAGCCCAGAAAAGAGAAGATAGAAATTCTTTCCTGCTGATGTCTTAGGTTTTAGGCTTTGATACCATGTTAGAATTAATCATAGATAAGAGAAAGAGTAAATGTATTGAACCAAGATTTCGTCTGTAATTCTCCAAAAAAAAACCTAAAAATACATAAAATAACCCTTATATAGTAGAGTAACACAACATAAAGAGAATGCCTAAACTCTGACAATTTGAACATTCTTTTCTGATAATTAGTCCTTGTGTCCTGATTTCAGAAATTGCTGCCAAAATCATACAGTCTCACTTTAGACGGTCAACAGAACAACGCAACTATCTGCAGATGAAGAATGTCGTTTCCTACTTGCAAATTGTTATTCGGGCTTGGCTGACAACAAAGAAGTCAGTCACTAAGAAATTCAATGCCATCAAAGCTCAGGAGTCGGCATTTGGTTTGTTCTCCATTTCAGTAAATCATTCATTTTTTTTTTTCATTAGTTGTTTCTGAACTGTGTAGTTTTTTTTAATAACCATACAGATAGGGCAGCAATCTTAATTCAGTCTCATGTGCGTGGATGGTTTGGTCGGAGAGTTGCTCAGAGACATAGGTCTCTCATCATTGTAATCCAAGTAAGTTCTTTCCAGATATCTGTGGCATGTGTCCAAGTGTAGATGTTAATCATTTAGGAGTACTTCTCTCCAAGGATCAAAATTTCATTTCGATGCTTTATTTCGGTCACCTAAGAAATGAAAATGGAAACGGTTCGATGTATTTCGGAAACAGAATGAAAAAAAAAAAAAATTTAAGAATTATTTTTCTAAAACATTGGTCAAAATATATCAAATTATCTTAAAATACCTTGAAACATTTTAAAACAATTGTGCAAATACATTGAAACATTACAAAACACCTTGAAACATTAAGAAATACATCAAAGTATTAGAATTTCAATTCTATTATTGATTCGTTTCGGTCTCCTTGCAAACAGAAACGTTTCGCCAGTTTCGAAATGAAATTTTGATCTTTGCTTCTTGCCTATCTCACGTATCCATGTGTGCACGACTGCATGGTAATTTTGTCATCTGTGTTGGTAATTCTGATGTGAACTGAATGGAATATCCTCATAATAATTTGTTCATGTTAATCATCGTATTAAAAAACTATGATATGATTATTATACTTTTGGGGGATTATCTGCTCCATACTTTTTCCGATGCATGGTCAATTAAGTGGCTTACAGATCTGAATTCCTTGTTTCTACTGTATTCGCAATTGAATTCCAGATGTTCACCTCTCAATTTTTCAATAGGAAATGATTCTTGTAACATTTACAAAGTGGTGGTGTTCTGCAATGTATCCAGAGTCATTGTCGCGGCTGGTCAATAAGGAGAAAGCTTTTACTTCAAAGGGAGGCTGCAATAAGGATCCAAAGTGCTTTCCGATGCATGAGGTGCTGGAGGATGTTCATTTCTAATAGGAACGCTGCTACGGAAATACAACGCTTTGTCAGAGGTTGTAATACTAGAAAGTGGCTTTTAGGTAACTTTCCATGGCACTGCCTATGCCTACTCTTTTGGCCAACAATTTCTTGATTGCGCCATAACTAATCAGATGACGTGTTAATGCAGGGGCTTCTTACCTTCGAGCAGATTTGACTCTCAGTTATATTCATTACAATTTACCAGATTGCTCTCAGAATCTGGAACTGAAGATATTTCTACGAGCAGTTTTAAAGTTGCAAAGGTGGTGGAGGGGTGCTTTATTACTAAAATCAACAACAAAGTCATCAGTTGTTATTCAATCTCATATACGAGGGTGGATTGCTCGGCAAGGAGCTCTAAGAAAGACACATCATATTGTTAAAATCCAGGTGTCTTAAATTTTCCTTTTGCTTGGCCACTCGTTGGCTTTTCAATTCTTTGAATCCAATTCTTAATAGCAAATGATTTTTGTGGGGCTTAAAAGTTGTGCTGTTCTGCAATGTACCTAGAGTCGTTGCCGGGGTTGGTTAACAAGGAGGAGACTGTCACTTCAAAGGGGGTCTGTGATAAGGATCCAAAGTGCTTTCCGATGCATGAAATGCAAGAAGGTGTTCCTTACTTATAGGCATGCTGCTACAGAAATCCAACGGTTTATCAGGGGGTGTATTACTAGAAAGTGGATTTTAGGTAACTTCCATTTACACTTTCAATTCTTTTGATTAACAATTTCATATTTGGTTGTCTGTGTTGTTAGCCAAAATTAGTCTAAGACTGTTAATGCAGGGGCATCTTACCTTCGAGCAGATTTGACTGTTGGATATATTCATAACAACTTACCAGATTGCTATCTGAGTCTTGAACTAAGGATATTTCTACGAGCAACTTTGAAGTTGCAAAGGTGGTGGAGGGGTGTTTTGTTGCTTAAATCAAGAACAAAGTCAGCTGCTATCATTCAATGTCATATTCGAGGTTGGATTGCTGGGCGAGGAGACATAAGAGAGAGGCATCATGCTGTTGTAATCCAGGTGAGAGATATATTCCTTTTGCTTGGCCACTTATTGGCTTTTCAATTCCTCGATACGTAACTTGAAGATTACACGATTCGTTCAATGTTCATAAAGCGGCTTTATTCTGCGATGTATCCAGAGTCATTGCCGTGGCTGGTTAACAAGGAGGAGGTTTTCACTTCAAAGGGGGGCTGTAATAAGGATCCAAAGTGCCTTCCGATGCATGAAATGCCAGAAGTTGTTCCTTTCTTATAGGCATGCTGCTACCAAAATCCAACGGTTTGTCAGGGGGCATATTGATCGGAAGTGGCTTTTAGGTAACTTCCATTTGCACTGCCTACTTTTTTGGCCAACAATTTCTTGTTTGCTTGTCTGTGTTGTCACCATTACTAATCTGGCTTTATGTTAATGCAGGGGCATCTTACCTTCCGGCAGATTTGCCTGTAGATTATATTCGTAATGACTTACCAGATTGCTCTCAGGATCTTGAACTGACAATGTTGTTGCAAGCTGTTTTGAAGTTGCAAAGGTGGTGGAGGGGTGTTTTAGTTGTTAAATCAAGAACAAAGGCAGCAGTAGTTATCCAATCTCATGTTCGAGGGTGGATTGCTAGGCGAGCAGTTGTTAGAGAGAGGCATCGTATTGTTGTGATCCAAGTGAGATATGTGTTCTATTTTCTTGGCTATTAGTTTCTAAGATGCTCTTTTTAATTGTTTTGAATGAAGTGATCTTGCAGTCAGAATAATCACTTTAGTATATAATTAAGAAGTTCCGTAAAGTTGATCAAGTAACAATCAGCAACCAACAAATACCTTCTGCTGCTGCATCTAAGCATCTTCTTTTTTCAGTATCTATTGTATGACTCATTCCCACCTCTTTGTTGTGCCCTAATGCTTGTTCAGTTAGTGTTGGCTAGCATCAGTGATAGCACTACATTGTCCAATCAATCTTAGTAACTTTTTCATGTGACTTTGTGCTCTAATAGTGTCTTGTGATCCTTCCATTTTTGATATTGTTTGGCTTGGTCTTATTTACGTGACAGTCATACTGGAAAGGTTTTCTTGCACGGAAAGAATCAAGAGGGCAGCTACAGGAGTTGTGCTTGAGAGTGCAAAAGTCTGCTGCAAATGTGGATGATGACATGCGTATAATAAACAGACTAGTTTCAGCTCTCTCAGAACTATTGAGTATGAAAAGTGTGAGCGGCATTCTCCATATCTGTGCGACACTGGGTGAGTAATTCATGCTAGTTTTTAAGTAACTTGGGCTACATATGATCTATTTGTCACGTCTCAAGAAAACTGAAGGGCTCATATATGCGAATGCACATGACTGCAACTTGGATTAGAAATAAATCATGAACTATAGCTAATCAGTGCTCATTTACAAACAATGCGTACTTGTTAATTCTGAATTAGGGTTTAAGTGGAGATAACTGTTTGTCTTTGCTATTACTAATTGGAAGTTTCTAACCAACCGGATGACTTCAAATTTGTCTTGTTGACTAACTTGTAGCAATGAATTTAAAATTGTCTTACAGATATGGCTACAGAACATTCACAAAAATGTTGTGAAACACTTGTGGCTGCGGGGGCAGTTGACACATTACTGAAGCTAATACGCTCGGTCAGCCGGAGTATACCTGATCAAGAAGTTCTAAAACATGCTCTCTATACTCTCAGAAATCTTGCACGCTATCCACACTTGTCTGAAGTATTGATTGATAGCCGTGGATCTGTACAGACAATTCTTTGGGAGTTGCTAAGGTTGTCAAAGCAGTTACTTTAGTTGTTTCTTATTTCTTTCTTTCTTCTTTTTCGTTTTCTGATCCTTTGATTGGTTCTCATTCATTTGTTACTCTATTTAGAAACAAAGAGGAGGGATATTTCATTGCTTCTGAGCTTTTGAAGAGGATTTGTTTAGATAAAAAAGGCATTGAAGCTGTGCACAATTTACCTGCTCTAGTGAAGAGGTTACACAACCTTGTTGAGGAACTTGCAAGAAAAACAGGCAATGAGAAGAGGTCAGATATCTACTCTCACTTTTTTAATATTGCTTTATTGACCAAGATTAAGATCTAATGTAATGTGTCATTGTTTTTATTCACCTGTATTTATAAATGAATTTACTGCACACCACCCCATATGCAGGAATGCTCGAGGGGTGGCAAAAGAGCAGACTGAGAGAAGATTGAGAGAAGCCATTAAGCTCTTGAACTTGATTACAGATGGATAACCAAAGGGCAACTGTATAATTTTTTTTTTTTTGCAGTGTGTTCTTTTGACTGTACAAGTATAGAAGCAGAACATATATCCAGTTAGCATCGTGTGAGTGTAATTTTAGGCTGAAGTGTTGAAATTAGAAGTTCAGTGGGACATAGAACCACAGATCATGTATGACCTTTGTAACTGTGTCCTTTGTGCTTATTAGTAATGTATTCATATTGTGTTGTCTTGAATATCATTATTGTGATGAGATTACTTCTCATTGTGCATACACGATTCAATTATCATGATGGGGTCTAGAAAGGATCACATGTATGCATTCATACCCGTGTGTGGATAAAGTTTTTCCGTGATTTGAAGCAGTTGCATTCAAGTCATAATATAGCCATCTAACCTCTTTGTGCAAAGGTAGCCATCTTACTTCTCATGAACGTATTGTAGTGGTATCACACGTGTTCAGGACTATGCATGTGACCTGCAAGGTAGGGATGGAAAATTCCAAGGACTACACTGTAAAAAACTGATATTATTCGTGTATCTTTTTTAATCAATCTTATGCAATTTGTTATTGTGCTTACTAGTAAGGTACTCATTGTGTTTTGTCGAATGTTACTAGTAGTATGCTGAGATCATTTCTTGTTATGTACGAATTTGTTGTCACACAACAATTGTCATGTGGGGTCTGAAAAGGATTACTTGTATGTATTCATACTTGTGTGTATAAATTGTTTTTGTGATTTGAAGGCGTTCAAGTCATTTAGAGCAATTTTACCTCTTCACCAAGAGATGGAATGCACACTCATGCACCTACTGTAATGGTATCACAAGTTTGTTCCCATGTATGTGACCTGCCAGGGAGGGGAGGTCAGAAGCTGAACTGTTGGAAGTTTTTTTTTTGTTATAGGTATTCATGCTTGTGTCGACTATTTCTTCGACCTTGAATATTTGTCATCGTAGTCTGAGCGGGTTTAGAATATATGAGTAATAAGAATGTCCGATCTTTAAGAGATATGAGAATTGATCGATTCTGCTGCTGAAAACTGTGGTAGGCCGAACTTGGGGCTTCGAAATTGGGAAAGTTGAGGCCAACAGCGTCATTTATTAACAACTTGCACAAGTTGTAGTTTGTCATTTGTCTATTCAGTTGTTGGTGCATTGAATGTGGATGTGCAGCAGATATTTTTGGTCACGGCAAGTTGCGACTATAGAGAGTTTGGATCATATGAAATTGGGCTAAATTTCCGAAAATTGAAATCAACTCATCATGATCTTAATTAGAAATCAAGAGGCTAAAATTCGATCATCTTATTGACATGTTTAAAAAATAATCTAAAATTTATACAATGAGTCGAAAAAATCTGAATCGCTTATTTCTTATCATTCAATTATGTTGGCCCAAATCCCAACACTAGACTTATTGGTCAATCAAATTTAGATTGCATCTCGATCTATTGAATTCTAATATAAAGCATCAGTTTGAATTTGATCAGATTATTTGTCCACTTTTATTTTCATAATTCATATTTAAAATCGAGAAAAATTAATAATTTGATCAAAATTATTTTGTAAATTATATCCAATATTTATCTAAATTTTGTCAAATAATTACTTAATTGCATTAGATTTTAATAAAATCGCAATCAAATCAGATATTAACATGTCTTGAAATCTATTTCAAATTATTAGTAAAATTATTGATATATATTCGATTCATTGGATTTGGATGTTTCTTATAATTGTTCTCGGTTTTCTTACATTTGTAAATCTAAATGTTCTGAGTTTAAATATTGATAATCTTGTGAGATCAAGTCATGAATGATTTATCTCTCATAAATACCCTAATTCTGACGTAGATAGTTTGTCTTTGACCAAACTTAAAAATGAATTACTCGAAATATGCATAAGTTAACTTGAACACCCCAATCATTAAAATAAAACAATAAAACAAAAAATTCTGTTATAAAGTAATATTTTTCTAATGGTCCAACGTGGGGCAGCCGCCTAGGAAATTTGCCTTTTCAGAAGGCGAAGAGCTATTGAGAATCGAGTTTGGCAATCCAATTGTCCTTTGAATCTATTTGGATGTTAGAATACATCCAAAGGATAGAGATTAGGGCTCTTAACATGTCACCGTATTAGTTTCATGTCACGCTCAAGTTACTTGTTAAAATTGATTTAACCCAATATAAAAATTATATATCAAATCAGATTGACAAATACGGGCCAAACCCATTTATCTAACGGGTTACTAAAATTTTGAATACTTAATCACATAATTTAGTTATATTCGAGAGATACAAAACAAAAGACGTTTTTTTCTATCTCAATGAGTTACGACATATCATTATTACGTGGAGTTTTTCATGGTCGGGTTTGACCTTGTTTTTCAATTCCCCTTTCATTTGGTCGATTGGTTCAAATGAGTCATCGTCCTTTTCTCCTATCGAAGCACTTGAGTTACATTTTCCCACATGCTAAAACCCCGTATCACCAACTTCAAATAATAGTTTTAATGGTAATAGAGATGATTTGTACATTCAAAAATTCTAAATTTGAATTTTAATAATTCTTTAAGATTAGATCATGAAAAATTTATCTTTCATTCATAAATACTATAATCTCAATATTAATAACATGTCTTTGATCGAACAGAAAAAGAGATTAAGCTAAATCGATTAGCACCATATTCGTGTACACGAAGCCTTCAACAAGTTTTTTTCAGTTCCCAAACAGATTCTGACGATAGGATGCATCTAATGACTTATCCCCCACCAAATCAAATCTTAAACTTCATACTGTTTTCAGAATTTTGTAAATAAATTTCTATGGAGTACAATCTTCAAATATTCTACAACACCCCCACCAAATCAATGCCTATTACTTCTAATCAATCCAAACATTACAGAATTGCTTCTACCTAGTTCCTACCAGATGTTCTTTAATTCAGGCAGCCCTTGCAAGAACTCCTAGCTTTTGAGGCAAGTCTGCTGGATCAATATAGAATCCCCTCCTCACAAAACACCTTGGTACTGTAATTGTCAACACTCCATTTTCATGCCCTGCAGAGATACCATTAACGTCCACCATACCCGGAAGCCGGAGTTTCCTCCTGAAGCTCCTAGCAGACTCTGTAGTCGATTCATTGGTTGCCTCGGTTCGGATTATCAGGTACCTAGAGTCCTCAACTTCCACTCTAATCTCTTCTTTCTTAACACCTGCCACAACCACCAAACCAAACCAACAATTTGATTCAAATTCTTTTACCGTGTCGCTTAAGTTTTCTTTATTACCCGAAATAGAATAATCACTTAGAATAACGAAACAGATTATATTTGTCCAGAAGTACAAAACACATGGAAATAAAGAGAAAGGAAAACACAATTTTGAGGAGTTGAGAGGTTTACCGGGGAGGTCAGCTGAGTAAATGTGAGACTCGGGGGTTTCGGTCCAGTGCACGTAGTTTTCAGGGATGAAGTGGTGGGGAAAGAGAAGAGGAGAGGTGAAGAGAGATGGAAAGGAAGAGGGATTGAATGTTGAGAACTCCATTGATTTTCTTGGATGAAGATGAGAGGAAATTTTTGGTGGCTCTTGAGAGATGGGGTGGTTTATTCAGCGGGAAGGTAAAGGAGTTGGTTTGCTTTTTATAGACAAATTCAGGTGGTGGGCTATTGGCTCCTGACTAGCTAGTCTATCTTGGGGAAAAGGTTCATGTGAGGTGCTGATTGAGAGAATTAAAAAGGGAATGACCAATTTACCCCTAACTGGTTTTATAAAAGTGGGAGAAGCATTAGCTTAAGAGTCCAACCATAAGGAGAGATAAATATACGAAATCTTACCCTTGTATAACAAGAGACACAAATGTCAAGATATAGTGAATTTGCTTAGAGATCTCTAAACGATCAATTATGGAGCTTTTTTTTTTTTTTTTTTGTTTTGATACGATCAACTTGACAATCTCAATACACGTTATTGAAAATGACGTCGGTCGCATAGAAATTGAACCAAGGTCAAGATTAAATGTCTCTACCGGTGACATCCTTGAATGAATCCCAACTCTGACAAAAACATCATTAAGTCCTTAACGACTCGAACTCTTGATTGATGCTTAGGTTACAATAGAAAAGTTAACCGCAACAGTAGTTAATCACAAATGAAAATAAGACTTCTTCATTCTTTTAAGTGATTGCTCTAAAACAAAAAATCTGACCAACTGCAACAAGATCTTGGATTGGGAGAAAAAAATTTCAGCACACAGAAGCAAACATTATACACCTACACTCTTGGGGGCGGAGCTGCAAGAATTACCCTTTTATATAGTGTTAAATTATCATGAACTCCTTTACTTTAATGCATTGTGACTCCCCTTGATTTTTTGAAAATTTGGCTAGTGGTCCTAGTTTTTTTTTTTAAGTATCAGTGGTCCACTAATCTTCCTAATCTAGTAAAACCATTTTTGGACAGTGACAGGAATGTGAAATGCTCTCCATATATATAAATTGTCTAAAGATAATATCCTTATGTTTAATATACTATTACCTTTTTAAACAAATATCACATGGCTACTCCGAACTCTTTTTCTGCAAGTTATTGATCCATATTCCACTAAAATACGATTAAAGGTAAGTTATAATATAACTTAACCCAATAGAGTGTATTCTGCATTGTGAAAGAATCAATTCCTCAAGAAGATGAGTAATGATTTTAATTAGAGGTTTCACAGCAAAATAAAGAATAATTTTGTTGTAGACTATTTGATTGTAAACATGAAAGTAAATTGTTAAAAAAAATTAGCATATAAGCCAATTACAGATGAATTAGGGATTTTGAAGAAAAAAAACCTCGTATTGCAATTCGATATATAATTGATATTTGTTTTTTATTTTTCATATAGCAATTTAATCTTAAATGATAATATAATTCTCACAATTAAACTTAAAATTTTTGTAAATTAATTGATAATTTTTTTAGTCATGGTTTGCCTCCTCTAACATGAAATTCTGACTCTGCCCTTGTACACACCAGTATATCCAAAGGGATATGAGATCACAAGTTCTTACCAAAAAGATGATTCCATTTTTCTGGTTTGATGAAACACCAAGCTTTAAACTTAGATATCTTGAGTTTAAATCTTGATAATTCCTTAGTATCAAGATATGAGAGATTTATGTCTAATCCCGGTGTTAACGGTCTACCTTTGATTATACTAGAGAAAGAATTAATCAAAATATGCGTAAACTGGCCATCCAAAAAAAAAATAAAAAATAGGAACACCAAGCTCAACCGATAGAGATGATCAAGGCTAGAGATTAAAGTGAGAGTATCAAATGGTGCACATAAATCAATTAAAAATTTTACATTTTCAAGAAAAATTACGATTCATTATTTTGTTAGAATTTTCTTCAAAAAAAATCAAATTATATATCTGACATAATAATTTTTTATTGGATTTACAAATCATATAGCACAAGTTCCTGATGTATTAAGCCCAATCTAAATTTTTTTCCCAATAAATGGGTGACGTGGTCTCACCCATAGTTATGGGCCTAGTAGTAGTGATGGTGCAAGTAATTAGCCCAATACAGAGGTGCAAGGAACGAAAGATTTAGAAGGGTCTTGAATGACCTCTTCAGGGCCCATAAATTGGAGGTTATGGTGCTCATGGAGACGAAGATCAAAAGCTGTCAGATGGATAATTTCTTTGACCAGTATGGCCTTACAGAATTGAAGAAAATGAAACCGGAAGGGAGAGCAGGGGGTATCTGGCTTTTATGGGACCCATCAAGCATTGCTATAAGCATTAGAGGATCTTCTAAGCAAGTTATTCATGCAACAGTAGTAAGGTCGAACTTTGATGAATGACTGTTTTAAGTTGTCTACGGTAGCCCTAATGTAGCTTGAAGAGATCAACTATGGGAAGAGCTTAGTTGTACAGGGAACAATTATGGAAATGCTTGGATGGTTGTTGGCGATTTCAACGACTTTTCCAGTCCTTCGGAGAGAAGGGGAAGAAGAGTTGATAACACAAGCAGAATCAGGAAATTCAAGGAGAGGATCAATCATTGCGGCCTAATTGATCTCGATTGCAGTGGTCCCAAGCTCACGTGGAACAACAAAAAAGAAAGGACTTGCAAATGCCAAAATCAGACTGGATCGTGTAATGGCCAACTTAGACTGGACAGTGCAGTTCCTAGAGGCAAGTGTCAAAAATCTTCCCAGGACGTACTCAGACCACTGCCCTATGTTGATTCAATTGCAAGGTACGCCCCATCCCCCCTCTTTTATTAAACCTTTTAGAATAGAGACTATGTGGATGACTCATCCTGATTTTAAGAACTTGGTGGCAAATACCTGGTTAAACAACAACCATTCCCTCATTAAGGCCTCAAATGAATTTGTAAATGTTGCTAAGGAATGGAATAAAAACTCGTTTGGTAACCTTTTTAGAAGAAAAAGAAGAATACTAGCAAGGCTAGAGGGCATACAAAAAGCCCAAAATTTACATTTCTCCCATAATTTGACTATACTCGAGGAAAGGCTTCAGCATGATTATTCTAGAATTCTGGAGCAAGAGGAAGTCTTGTGGTACTAGAAATCTAGGTCAAAATGGATTACATGTGGTGACAGAAATACAATTTTTTTTTTCATGTTTCTACTATTACAAGAAGAAAGAAATGTAAACCTCAATCTCTTAAGGATTTAGAAAGGAACTGGCTATCAAACCCAAATGACATTGCTAAGGCCTTGCTTGACTTTTACCATGATCTGTTTGGATTTGTTTGCCTTGACCAACCTCCTCACAGACCCTAGAAATTTCAATCTAAACTGTCAGATGAGATAAAATCCTTATTAGAAACCCCAATTGATAATGAGGAAATTAAACGTGTGACCTTTAGCATGAAACCTATGAAAGCCCCGGGTACTGACGGACTGCAGGCCCTATTTTTCCAGAAATATTGGTACATTGTTGGGGTCTCAGTTTGTACCCTTATTAAAGACATGATAATAAACAAAGAATGTCCAAGTGACTTAAATAAAACCTGGGTTACCCTCATCCCCTAAGTAGAGAATCCTACTCTGATTACACAGTTTAGACCAATTAGTCTTTGTAATATCTCCTACAAAATTCTCACTAAATTGCTGGTTTCTAGATTAAGACCTTACCTGGATAACCTAATTAGCCCTAATCAGGGCAGTTTCATCCCAGGTAGGCAAACGCTTGACAATGTTATTGTGCGTGCAGGATCTTGCACAATATAAACACGAGAACAGATCTCTCCCGTGGTGAATTCGAGTCAGTCAATCAAACAGTCACCCTAGCTATTTGGAGCGGGCTGAGATCCGTTGGAGGCTTGGAAGGATAATGGGTAACTTTCGTGGATCAAAGGAGCGGTCCAGTAAGGCTGAGGGATGTTCCTGGAATAGAGAAAGACAAGTTAGAAGGGCGCTGAAGTGTTTTCCGGCGTATCCCCTCCGACGATCAAGTCAGTTTTTGAGAAAGGGAAAGAAGAAAACACTGAGTATAGATTTGAGAAAAGGTTTTTTTTGTTGCATATCGTCTAGCCTTTTGCAAGGAGTATTTATACCTCAAAAACTCATGATTGCTATCAGTGTGGTCAGTAGGTGATCATTAGATATGAGCAACGTGCACACTGATTCCAATGAGGAATGTCTTCTCTTAACTGCTCGGGACCCCGAGCAACCAATGCTGCGTCATCGGCCTACCAAATGTTTAATGTGCTCCTCTCGACAAGGGTGTAATAAATGCCCAGTCTCAGGGACATTTATTATCATTCTCTTCCAAGCCTTACCGCATTAAATGTTGTCTCATCAATGGAATGATCTAATTAAATGCTTACTTTTCCAAGTCGGGTGTCAACAAGGGCATCAAGTCTTTTTGTCTCTGATGTGACACAGTATGCCACGCGCCCGTTCCCCATTGGTTATGTCTTCTGCCTACCTGTGTCTTCTAACACCAATTGTGTAAGACGAGGTCATGATGGCTAACCTAGCCTAGTCTAGACTAGCGACCTGTACATCAATAGCCTGTGTAGGAGCAGAGGACGCCATCCTGGACGGGTACATCTCGGTACTGAGGGGAGTGGTATATGTAGTGACCGATGTACCCATACCCCCGACCGAGGGATACGTGTCAGTACGTAAACGTACTGGGTGTCATTGATCCCTATGAACAGTACCTCGGGGGAAGAGGGATTTGTGATCTGACGGGTACGTGTCGTGATTACAGTAATAAGATTTTACTGATGCCGAGGACACGTGTATTATCTTGGAGTATTTGGAAATGTCCCATCAACTGCCCCCCAGCCTTCGATCTCCTGACACTGAGGACACGCGTCGTAAGGAGACGAAGGGTTCTGCAACTACTCCAACCACTTCATCATTGTCTTCAGCCGCTTTCCCCTGTTTCGGAGGTCGTGCGCATTAAATGCGCCTCTTCGTTCTTCGTGCCCAAATGATGGGGATGGGTACTATATAAATGGGTTTCCTCTCTCACTTTGCCATTTCGGATTTCTTCAGAGAGTTCTGGCCTGAAACCTCGCTGGAGATCCCTTTCCTTTTGTTGTCTACTGTTCAATCTTTCACCGGAGTCTCAAGGCCAGTAGACCCATCCTTGCTTCTAAACATTCTGGAG